GTTTTGAATACTGTATCACACTATATCAACATAGATCTGTGACCTATGTTAATGCTACTGGGAGAAAGAAAGTAAGAGTCCTTCAAGAAGTAAAATTGTAATGTGATATATGTTGAGCAATATTAAAAATACTATCTCTGAATTCCCATCCCTAGGATTGGAGGAGTTGTTTCTCTACAAATATTTTGTCTGCTGTTACTGATAACTTTATGCTGTAAATTTGAAAGGCAAATACAATATTTCTCCATTACAGGTCATCCTTGACTTACAAGCACAATTGAGCCTAAAATTTATTTTGCTATTTTGTTAAGTGAATTTTGACCCATTTTATGCCTTTCTTGCCACACAGTTGCTAAGTGAATCATTTGCAGTTGTTAAGTTAGTAACCTGGTTGTTAAGTAATCTGGTGTCCCCGTTGACTTTGTTTGTCAAAAGGTTGCAAAAGGTAATCACATGATCCTGGGACACCACAAGTGTCATAAATATGAACCAGTTGCCAAGCGTCTGAATTTTGATCACATGAGCATTGGGATGCTGCAACGGGTGTAGGTGTGAAAAACTGTCACTTTTTTTCAGTGCCAATGTACTGAGCGGTCACTAAATTAACTGTTGTAAGTCGAGGACTACCTGTACATAATTAACATTACAAGTTTTTGGATAGCACTGTTGCAGAGACCTCAGCAATTAAGTAAACCATTAATGCTAAGAATCTTAAGTGAGCATTTCAGAAGCAAAGGAAGGTAATATTTTCTGGTTGAAAGTACTCCAAAAAAGTTAAACTCTATTGATTGCAGTGTTTATGCAAAATGATTTTTTCCAAACTACATTCTAGGGAAATCTAAAATTATTTATTGCATCCCTATTCACCTATTCCTCAATGAAAACAAAATTAGCAGAAAGATGACATTAGAAGCAACTTGTTTCCTGCCATTTTCTTGTGATAAATACTATTGGGAAAATACTATTATGCAAATTTTAGAGCAATAATTGTAAATTCTTCAGGTTAAATTTATTTTATGGATTCTCCCTTCCCTCTTATTTTAACTATTTACACATATTGATGGTAGCCAAAGAGATACCATTTGTATTGTTTATTTTTTCCTGCTTTTATTATTTCTTATAAATATTTTAAGGTGGGGAACATAGATAATATTCTTTCCTTGCCCTATTTTCTTAACAGCAACAACCCCGTGAGGTGGGTTGGGCAGAAAAAGAGTGACTGGTCCATGGTCTCCTAGTTGGCTTTCAGGCCTAAGGCCAGGGGTCCCCAAACTTGGCAACTTCAAGATTTGTGGACTTCAACTCTCAGAATTCTCCAGCCAGCATAAGTCCACAAGTCTTAAAGTTGCCAAGTTTGGAGACCTCTGCCTAAGGCAGAAATAGAACTCAAAGTATTCTGGTTTCTAGGCTAGCACTCTCAACCATTACATCAAACTTGGTCAAATGTGACTTAGAGTGAGTACTCTAAATAGTATCATTCTTAAATAATATACCAAGGTTCTTTGGCAGGCTTGATGGGATTCACAACTCAATCTAAAGGTGTTTTCTAAAATCAAAAGTTTTAAAATCATGTCTATTAAAACAAAAATCAAAGTACAACAATAAACTTGTTATTAATCTCTTCGTGCTGCCTTGGATGAATCAAATACCAAAATAATTCATAACCAATTTCAAAATAATTTGTACATTTTTATAAGCAAAGGAGGGATAATAACGCATTGCACTATATTTAGGTAGCAGAATGTTGATGAAAATATGCCTTAGCAGAAGAAGTAATAATATTACTTCTATAATAAATTTTGTTTATATAATATCCATAATTCAGAATTAGGATAAATTTTCATGTTAACACTATTGGAATCCTTTGTGATAGCTGAACTGAACTACTGAGTTTCTGTATTCAGTATTTTCATGCACAGCAGATGATGTCATTGTTAACAAATGTACACATATACTTCCCTTCTCATAATTCCTGTAATAAAAATGCTGAAGTTCCTCAACTGCCTGTTTAGACATTGTCTTAGTAAAGGATATTTTCTATTTCTTTAATTTATTTTCAAACATGTATATAAACTTATTATCATTTCCAAATCAAAATGTGATTTATTCACACACACACAAACACACACACGATTGTTCACTTAGTGTTGTGTGTGATGTTGTTAACTTCACAACAAGATCTCTCTGTGGTCTATGAGAGTGTCAGTCACTCCATTGTCCAGACCACAAACTCTGTTCTTTATTTTTTAGTAATCCAGTTTTAAAAAGGAAAATGTGTGTGAAGGAAGAATATATTTCCTGGCACGCTTTCAAAAGAAATTACATTTAATGCATTAAATACTTTTTAACAAATTAGCATTTCTGTATTAAAGTGATATATTTCTTCAAACATGTACAACAAAAATAATCTCGCATTTAGCAGAGAACAAACACTATCTTAAAAACATTAAATATTACATATTTTTAATTATTATTTGGTATATGGTAAACAGAATGTACTTACCTTCTTCCTTTTAAAAATCCTGTTTTTCAGTATCGTTTTGTACTTAAGGATATGACACTTGCATTATCCATGTGTGCATACATAATAGATCTGGAATGCAATTCCCGTTTTAAAAGTTTCTGCTTGCTTAATCTCCCTAGAACTTAATTACTTAGGAAGTGTGTCTTGAAAAACCATGGATCGAGAAAGTCTTAGTTGGTTATATTGCCCTGTAGTAGAAAAGCAAATTAGTTACTTTACTCCTAGAGAATCTGGTTGTTCCTGTTAGAGATACTGTACAACCTTTCTTCCAAGGCGGGGCATTTTATTCTAATGAGATAATACCAGGAAGAGTTTTGTCTAACTCTTTCCTTACTGTAATTTCTAGCTTACAGTGAAAATATCTTGCTTAATACTTGCTTTCCTAAAAATGAAGTCCCTGAACATCAAATACTTACAATGAAAACTAGGAAAACATTGAGGAAGGCAGAATGAAAGTTTGTTTATGATTTAGTAATGTTTTATTAGTAGTTGTTAACTTCTACTTAGCTTTTTATTTTTATTCTTTTGCAATTTTGATGTAAACGATCAAAGCTTAAGCAATAAAAAAGGTTTTTTTTAATGAAAGAAATATATTATTAACAGAGAAAAACTTCTTTGAAATTATTGCCGAGAATTGAAGAGAATTATGAACTTGCTTAAATGGTCTATGTGCAAACTGAGTTTTACCCATTTTGCTATCTGTTTGTATTTTCAAATTATTATTGTATAGCTGAACCAATACATGACAACTGAAATGCTATGAAGATGTGATACAGCACATCATTTTATTCATTCAATATATAAAGTGGTGGTGGACGGAAGAACAATTCTTATATGGTGTTGAACTCCATATATTATTTCCATTATTGAACCATTATTAAAATGAATGAGGAAATAAACAGTTGTGAAAACTGTTGAAAATAGTGGATTGTAATGAAGTAGACAAATCTAGGTTTTTGTTTCTCTGTCTCTGTCTCAAACCTCTTTGACATTAAGCTCTCTGAATAATCTACACTTGTAGTCTCAGCCCAATATGTTTCATAGAGTAATTATACAGATTAGCTGGGGAAGAACAGTGCATACTAAATTTAGCTTCCTTGTATGATTCTGGTATAACAATTGTCTAGTGCCAAAATAGATAAATTTACAAACTTATGTTTAGGGGAAAAAATTACAGAGAAGCCGTTTCTCTTCTGTTGGGTATATCTCTAAATACAGTATAATCTCACTTTTCTTGTGCAATGCTTCTTGGTAGTATTCTACATCATAGTATTCTCCATTTGTAGTCCAACAAAGCACTGAGCTGAGGAAGTCTATTTTAGAGAAACTTAACAAAATAAGTGAAATACAAAGAGAATACTTTCTTTTTACTAAGCATGCTCTTGGTTCCAAATCAAAGGTTTTAGTGCAGTTCTTGTCAGTACTATTTACAGTATGTAGACATTTTCAACCTATACTGAAAAAAATCATAAGTCTAAGTGGGAAGAAGATTTGCCTAAATGTGCTGGTTTGTAGTTCATTTCTAAGAAATGGAAATACTTTTCTAAACTTTTTAATAAGTTTGCTGTGACTAATGAAAATTGATACTTTTCCTTGGAAGAACAAAAATAGGAAAATCAATCTTATCAACTACATTGTATATAGGCTTTTCTATATTTTAAATCCCATATTTTTTCAAACATATCTCCTCTATTGAGCTGGCAACCTGCCTGTAAATAAGGGCAGCTCGGAACCTTATCAGACAGGTAGATCACAAACCTGGAAATGTCCATCCGTTACAAGTACAGGACTTTTTGTAAACTTACAGCTGCTTCTAAGAACAGTTTGCAAGTTTCAAATTTGCAAGAACAGTTATAGTTTTTCTTTGTAATTTGACTTTTGATATCATTTATTCTGACATAGTTGTGTTATGAAGAAAGATCTACACAAACACTTCTACCACATTCCTAAGGGTATTTATTTTGAAGTAAACCAAGTGAAACTTCCTCTCATAAAAAGCTCATAAGGCTGCTTTCCTACAAAATAACATTGTAACCTTATTGTCATCATATGATCATCAGATTCAGACTTAAGCATTTTCACATAAAAGATTTTCCAATATGATTTCTCGCATATATTTGCTTTTCAGAGGATTATTCTAAAAAGGACAGCATTTTCAGGAGGTATAGGTTCTAGAAAGTATAATAGGAAAATAAAACTTCAACTGCCTTCTGTACAAAATTATTTGAGTCCAGTTCATCCAGGATGGGCTTTCTGACATTTAAGAATAATGGAAAAATAAATTAACCATTTGTATTTATTCCACTGAGAAGAAACTGTTAATAAATAGGCAACATAAATATTTATGTTTGGCTACAGAACAATATTTGTGTCTTTACTGTTATTTGTATAGATTCTGCTTATTCATATTGATTTCATTGATTTTTAACCGCAGTAGGTAGCATTACCATATTTTTATTTGATCTTTTTCCCCTAGATTAGCAAATAAACAAGACAAAGAAGGTGCCTTGGCAGAAGCAGATGTGATTGAATATTTATCTCTTGAAAAACTTGTCAATGAACACAAATGCCTCTGTCAGATTGTAAGTGCATTTTAAATAAGATTAATTTCCTTAGACATATTGCTTGGCAGAATTTTGAAATGAAATTATGCAATTCTATCACTTTATTTTTCTCCATATCATATGCCTCTTTATGTCTGATTAGTGACGGCCATGAGAAAGATGATTTGGTTGTTTATTACCTGGATGATAAACAAATTTCAGAATGTCATTTCTCAGAAAAGTATTAAAGGAATATCCGTCTCTGTAATATCAGGGCTTTTTTTAAAGCATTTAATTTACTGATGAAGATAATACTCAGGTATTACATCTGTAGTGTTGGTTCCTAAACTGAGAAGGCTAATCAGTTCAGCCTTTTTAAAATTGTCTGGTCTGTTATGGACAACTGCCTATAAGTTATAAAAAAAATTGCATGGAAATGTCCATGTAGTTACCAGGAACTATGATTGATTTGAAAGACTGTAACAACAATAGCAACAACGTGCTATGGAAATACAAGTTTCTTTTAACAATTATATTTTCTACCATTCACTAATGCAATTGGTCTTTGACTTATGACCACAATTGAGCCTGACATTTATGCTGCTAAGTGAGAAATCTGTTAAGTGAGTTTTGGCCCATTTTACGACTTTTCTTAAGTAAATCACTGCAGTTGTTAAATTAGTAACACTGTTAAATGAATCTGGCTTCCCCATTGACTTTGCTTGTCAGAAGGTTACAAAAGGTGATCACATGATCCCAGGATACATAAATGTGAACCAGTTGCCAAGCATCTGAATGTAAATAACATGACCATGGGGATTCTGCAATGCTCATTAGTGTGAAAAATAAGTCACTTTTTTCAGTGCCGTTGTAACTTCGAACGGTCACGAAATGAACTGTTGTAAGTCACGGACTACCTGTACAACGAAGAATGTTATACATTGACAGAGAAAGGAATATTGTTCTTGACTGGCATGCCAACGTTCTCCATATAAATGTTTCTTTCCCCATATGAATGTTTTCTATAAGTATCAAATGTCATTTCACTTGTGTATGGCTGCCAGGCACAACTGAATTTAACAGTGTATCACTTGAACCTATGACAGGTTTTGTCTTAAGCTCTTCTTTCCATATGGCATTCTTGAGTGATGTGGATGCCGATTATACTATCCCCTCAATAGTGGTGCATTGGGATTCATAGAATACAATTATATTAGTTTTGTTTTTAATATTAATAATTTTACACTGGAGTTTCTGAAAATGGAGCAGGCTTTCCAAAAATAGAGCAGCATGTAAATTGAAGTATTAACTTGAGCTGCTTCAACATTTGAAATAGCTAATATTTGAATGAATGAATAATTAACAAATAAATTATAGACTGTGGTTATTTTCAAAATCTGTTTTATTATAGAATTGGGATTTGCAGATAAATCAGGTTTAGTACATGATAATGTAATTTGTTCTTATTTCAGTTTATTTATGTAACTTAAAATATGCATTTCAGTTCTAAATATACTTTTTATTCACTTAGATTAATATTAAAACTAAGTGAGTTATGGTGACAGAAAGAATGCTGCTAAAAAGCAAGGAAGAATCCGAATGCTCTACTGCAGAGCGTAATGTTTTGTGGCAGAGCATTTGTTTCATTCTTGGAAAATAAAATTTTGGTTTAATCATTCTTGTCTTAAAAAGTTAGAATTTCAAGACAAGAAATTCTTGAGGGAATGTATTGGGAGCAGCAACAGTTTTTGAAAAGTAATTTTCAGAGCATATAGGCAAACCTGAATATATATCCCTCTGGAAAGCTGTGTATTAAGAGGTGAGATGGAATAATTGGATGGATCAAAATATGAACAAGTTATCATTGACAAGTGTGCTGCACAGTCATTTTCAGAAATTGTCAGTGAGTCCATAACTGATTGTTCAATTTCATATTGCTATAACAATATGAAATAGTGCTGATTTTTCCATTGGTTATAGGAGCCTTGTTCTGCTATTCTGGGCAATGGAAGAAAAATTGACAAATCGATAAAGAAAGGTTTACTTTGGCTGTTACACACTATAGCAAAAGATTTTGATGTCTTACACGAAAGAATTCAGAAAGACATCACAGAACAAAAAGCCATTGAAGAGCAAGAGAAACGAGAGCGAGCAGAAAGAGTGAAAAAGATAAGGAAAGAAAGGTAGGTAGAGTAAATCATCTTTCATTTATGTGAAATATTTTATAGTACATTGCAGATGGGATTTCAGGTACTGTACAGCAAAGACCAGAATATGTAGATCTAACATGTAATACATTCAGTAATTGTGTTTTCGTATCAGACATGATGTGACAAGGATCTTCAAACTTGGCAAGTTTAAGACTTGTGGACTTCAACTCCCAGAATTCCTGAGCTAACATGCTTGGAGGAGGAATTCTGGGAGTTGAAGTCCACAAGTCTTAAAGCTGTCAAGTTTGAAGAGCCCTGTGATATGACATAGTCAAAGGTGTTAATAATGATCATCTAAGAATGACATTTCCGGTATGACCATTGTTTATTCAAGACAAGAAATAAAGTACAGAATCATGCTGGTGCTCATCATATTTGTTGAATTCCAAGGGAGTTTTGTCCTTGGCTAGAAATTATGGGCTTTAACACCATACTTGATGGGATACCAGGTTGGGGAAAGTTCATTTAGACATTCTGAAGGATTTGCAAAAGGGGGTTACAAGTTCAGACTGATAGAACAGAAAAATGAATTTTCCCTATACTATAGCTACTGTAGTTAATCTTTATTAATACTCTCTCATTTTATGCTAACTTTGGGTAATGTGTCCCAGATTCTGAGAGAGCATGCAGAATTTGTCATGTTGATATGGTATTTGAATTATAGACAAAAAAGAAAGCAACTTATCATCTATACATTCAACTTCTGATGGAAACAGTTACAAGTGTTTGTTTTTAACAATTTAATACATGTATTAACTTGTTCACTGAATATGGAATTTTGAAAAAGGCTGGGTCTGCCACTAAGTCTATCAAGAAGGAAAACGTAATACTTCTTTCTGACCAATAGATGGAATTCTTTTTTTTACTCTGTAACTTTGCCTTTTAAAAGAAAGTAATGACTTCCTTTATGCTACATCTTAAAAGCCAAGAATAATCAATAAAACATAAGAATGGGGATATACAATTGGAGAGGCTGCAAAAGGAGTATGAAATTATGTAGGTACGCTAGCATCTATCACCAGCTACTTACTGTACAGGTTGATCTTTAAAAGACAGAATGAGTGGTATTAGAGTCAGCCTTATATGGACTGGGCCAAGCTAGGGATACTTAGCAGCTCCTTCCTTTCCAACAAACATGGTCAACTGTGGTGATAATCTGAACCTCTCAAAGGACACTCTGTGGTAATAGCAATGGCAGACAGACCTGAAAACAGTCAGCACCATCAGCAGTCCTCTGACAGCTAGCATACATGGAGGCTGGTAAAAGCACAGTAGTGCTCGAATCCTCCAGCTGCAGACCAAGACTCAGTACATCAGATCTTCCCGTTGCTAGAATGGTGGTAAGAGAATCAAATGGCATCAGAATGGGCAGTATGTGAGAAGAGACATATTCCATAACAAAGGAGTAAGTAGGACATGAATCATAACGGTTTTCAGTTCTAACTAAAGGAGAACACATAAAATGGCTTAAAATCTCAGAATATGAAATTGGACCAGTTTTTCATTCAGATAAATGGAATCTGGTAGGAATCTAATTCTTCACTATGTTCAAATTTTCTTTTAGCTAACTAGAAAAATAGTGAGATATGTCTTTAGCCAGCATACCAAATTATAGTGGAATATATCATATTACTGAAAAGAACACTCACTAACTTCAACAATTTAGAATCTGTAATTATTAATTATTTATTTTACATTTACCAAATATGTAGAATTGTGAATTCCTTTCAGTTGTACAGAAATTCATATAATAAAATTTGAAAATATACAAATTCAAGTCAATCTTAATCAGGCAAATAATGCATATTTCTGGATTATCTTGGTATCTGTTTGGTTTATAACCATTTCTTTTTTTGTTGAATTCAATTTTTGACTTTAATTCTGTCATAAAATAAGACAAGTGGAACAGGAAATACAAGCATGCAACCTCATTTTGCTTTGAATCAAAAGTTTATTTCATGAGCAATTTGGAACAAGAAAGCCATCAAAGTACAAACAACTTTTCAGCAAGATAATACTTACATCAACAACTCATTGCAATCAGGTCCAGAGAGAATAGCTAGGTCCAGCAAAGAGCAGCTACCATCAGTGGCCATGATCTGAGATAAAATTCCTTCTTATATACTTTTTCTCTACATCCCTTCTGTTCCTCTAGAAGATTACCAGGGCAACTTTCTCATTCATTGTGCCATCCTATTACTCTTGTCATCTGCACTTTTTGGTTCCGTATTCTTGTAATGTCCCAGACAATTATGTCCAAAATAGCCTCAAAACGAATTGAATTGCAACTATTAGGTTTACACAATTGCAGATTACAAATTTTCCCTTAGTTTGGGCCTTTATCAAGCTAGTGTTAATATACTTTCATATAAGAAGCAGTAAAAGCCGGGTTCAGAGCTAGGAAGTATAGACACAGGTAGAGAGTTAAGGGTCTCCTATTACAACCCTTTGCTTTAAGGACAGAATAGAACATATATTTCAGTAAATTAATGAAAGCTACATTATTCTAATAGAAGAATTGTAAGCAAGGTTTCACATTGATTGTTTATTTTCAGGTATCCATCTTTTACAAGTTCATCAATAACACTTTACTGCATTTTGATGTAATGCATATGAACTGTTTTCAGATTTTGTAATATTCTAAGAATTTGTAATTTAATCCAAAATATCTTTTTTTTTAAAAAAATAATAAGAGAACAGAAAGAGAAAGAAGACAATGAACGGGAAAGAAGGAGCATTTTGGATGAAGAAGACTCTGAGCTTGTAACTGGAAACCCATTTCAGCCCATATCAACTATAATCACTAAGGTATTGGAGCTATCACCCATGGAAAAGATTTGTGTCAAATCAATTCATTGTTCATGAGTCATTTAGCCAGTATTGTATTTTTAAAACAAATTCAAAACCCCTTCTTTTATATTTGATCCTTTTTTTTCCTTTATGTTATCTGATACTAGTGGTTATTTTTCCTTTACTTTCTGTTTCATTTTTCTTGTTCCTTTTATTTAGATCATATTAATAACTGTGTTTGCTTCTCTACTAGCCCCTTTTGCTTGCTTGATAACTAATTATGATGTATTGAAAAAATTGAACCCATTGGCACACAGCAGAGTATTTTTGATAAATCTCTATCAAAATTTCTTTTGAGATACTTCTTATCTGTCTATACCAAAGTAACATGTATTTTTCCAAAACATAGGAGAACTTGTGTTCTTGTTCTGGGGATGCATCATGTAAGATAAGGCTGCGCTAGTGTTAGGTTGCTACTTATATCTAGAAAACCAAAGGGATTTATTTCAGTCACCTAGGACTGTTAGGACTGTTTCTTCTACCTTTGATAGGTTGTTGAGCTTAAGAACCATTAAACTTTTCTGAGCTTCTCTTATGCTTTGTCAGATGTGTAATCATTTTACAATTCAATCATGACTTTCCTAATACTGGCAGCCTCCTCTAAGTTGTTTTCTCTGTATGTTTTTAAGCCTCCTTTTATTTTAGCTTCTTGTTTCTACAGCCTTTTTTCAATAATTACCTGGTTTTTCTATGCTTCCTTAATTCTGTAGATGGCCAAATAATGTTCAGCCTTCTTTGAACATTAAGTGGTATTTTTATCTGGTTTGGTAGAATTGGTAAGAACTATTCTAACATTGCATATTGAATATGCATATTCTAATATGCATGCTTTGTTACATTGTATCAGTATAATGTGACTTTGCTTAATTTTAATCTTATAGTAAAGTTGTGTAAGTTCTTTGGACTTTTCCTGTAAAGCTGGATGCTAACCAAGCTGCCAATTGCTGCTTGGGCTTTATAAATATTGTTCTGTATCATATATTCCAAAAACTCTTCTATATTTTTGCTTTTGTTAATTTTGGGATTTAAATATTTTGAGATCTTTATTACGAGTTTAGGAAGAAGTTCTTACTCCCATTCTTGGAGTAGTTGTAGCCATAATTATGTACTACTATTATTTCTTTCAATTACCCTAAATGAATTATCCTTTCTGATTATTCCTGCTCTAGTCTGTCTTGTCTCTTTTTTTGTCCAATGTCTGCCCTATTCTTGGTCCTTCAGCGTAACTTAAATACTTTTTCCCCAAGAACTTTATTCCTCCCATAACAGGGGAATTGTCACCATTTCCAGTGCCTTCCATATTTTCTTTTTTCTTTTTTGTAAAAGTTTTTTCTTTTTTTAAAGACAAACAGTAACAAACACAAACATAAAACATCAACATAAAACCATCTTCCAAAATACAGTGTGTTGGTTGGTACATTTCTTTCGTGCAATCAGCAGTCTTCCCCTTCCAAACATATATTCATATTACAAAGTCAACTGTACAAATTGTATTATATCATATTATATTATTATTATATCATCATACTATGAATTCACATAGTACTTATCGAGCCAATCTAAATTTAAACAAATCTGAGAACAAAGACTTCATTTCATTATATTTAATTATATAATATCATTACATCATATTATCTTACCTATTGTAATATTCCTTTTTATAACATAATTTACTTCTCTATTTTCTTATCTAGCCATTGATAAAATAAGTCCCAAATTTTGTAATATTCTTTATCTAATATTCTTTATCTAATTGCTAGTGTCAATTTACTCATTTATGCACATTCCATCATTTTCTTAACCACCTCTTCTTCTATTGGAATTTTCTCACTTTTCCAATTTCTAGCAAATACAATTCTAGATGCTGTTAACACATTTATAATCAAATACATCAATTCTCTGCTATATCCTTCAGGCAAGATACCCAATAAAAATATCTCTGGTTTCAAGGCTTCCTTCCATATTTTCAATGGTCTCTTATTTCTGTACTACTACAAGATATGAACAGATGTGCGTGGTCCCAGATACTATTAAGATATTAATTACTTAACTAATTTTATAGTGGCCAGGCTAATTTTAAAATTTATTTCATCAAATTACTTTTGTTTTACATTAATGCTACCTGCTACCTCTGTACCCATTTCATATTCCATTGCCACCACCATATGTGGTGGTGTGAAAAAGGATAAAATAGTTCTGAACAATGCAACGAACTAGAAGCCAAATAAAAAGTATTCTATATTATAATACAAGGAGTAATACAGTGAGTAATTTATTTGGCTGGTTTTCAGTTGTAATATGCTTACCTATCCTGTATATATTCATGCATGAGTTCTTGATTACAAGTCTAAATGAACAATTTAATATTCATTTAAATATCACTCTTAACCGCTCATCTCCCTCAGAGAGATAAATAAATATACATTTATTTACAGAGCTGCTATAGGCAATTTCTAAACCTAATAATGGGGTTTTTATATTAATTCCTCTTTCTAGATAGCTTAGATATACTTTTATTTGATATTCTTAAGAATTCCTTGCCTAGAGGCAGAAAACAATTTTTTTTTTCAAAGTTCTCCTAGGATTTTGGTACTTTATTTGCTTCTGTACCCAGTTACAGCTCTTGAGCTGTTTCTCCTATAAGGATTCCTTCATCTCTGCAGTCCAGTTGTTTTATCAACAAGGTCACTCCAAATCCTTCTTTCTAGATTCTACTTGCTATTGCTAATGTTACCCACTGCACATATCTATTTCTTTGCTGACTTCTTTCAATGTCTTTCTTGATGTCATTGATCTCTTAATTCTTTGCCGACATGAACAACACCTCCAACTGATTATAAGGAAATACAAAGCAGAACTCCTTTTTCTGCCAATTGTCCTGTATAATGGCAGTCAGTTTCCTAAACATTATTAGTAGCCAGTAAAGCAATAATAATAATGATAATCATCATCAAATAGCATCAATGGATCAATATTCACAAAAGATTTGCATTAAATTTGGTACTCTCATTTATGAAAGGATGTGATGTTCAAGTTGACCTTAGAAAAAAAACTAAGGAAAATAAGTCATTATTGCTAATTTATGTTGGATATTGAGAAAGCCAAAGAATACCAAAACCCATAAGTATATTTTTCATTGATTATAGAAAGGCTTTTGATTGTGTTGATCAGTTCAAGCTGTGGAGTGTGTTTATAAAAATAGGAACACCAGAACATTTTATTTTTCTGATGCAAAATTTGTTAAAATTTTAATAAATCAGAGTACATGCAAAGTACATATTAAGGCAAACTGGATTTTAAGAATATGAGTGCGTTTTTAAAATTGAAGAAACATCAATAATTTGTGCAATGTTGATGGCACTATTCTGATTACTGAAAATACAACTATATATAATATATAATAATTAAACTGTGAACAGTAAATGAGACAAGAAATATGCCACAGACTAACACTTGGCAGAGTAGCATTGAAAGCCTTGGAAAATATATTTAGATGCCAGAATCTGCTTTTAATACAACAATCAGAATGGTGCAGGCATTGGTTTTTTTTTTTCTTGTGTCATTGTGTAGAAGTTAAAAGTTGGACTTTGAAAAAAATCAGAAGAGAAACTGTTGCTGCTTTTCAACTTTAATATTGGGAAAGATTTCTTACAATGTAATGGATATCCCTGAAACCAAACAAAATGGATCATAGAACAGAAGACTTTCTCATTTAAAGTAAAAACATTCAGACTCAAATTATAATACTTTGGCCACTTCATGCAAAAGAGTTAATTCTCTGGAGATGTCTATAATGCTGGAAACAGTAAAAACAAAGAGAAGAGGATAGCCATCAGTAAGGTGGTTGAACTCAGTTTCAGCAGTGTGGGCAGAACATGGATGAAAGACCTGAAGGATCAGATTAGAGATGGTTCTCTTGGAGAAAATCTATTTATGTGATTGTGAAGAGTAAATACAAACCTGATGGCACATAGCCAATCAAAAGACAGCAATTTTCAAAGATACCAGGTTTTATAATTGGTGCCTTTTTAATTAATTTCTTGGAATAATAGTTCAGAATATGAAAAAAAGCTGCCGTGATATCAGAATCAGTATAAGTAATTAAAGGCTTAGTTTTCTCCACATGGGAAAAAAGCTTTACTTAATATTTTAAATCCTTTATCCATAGCAATATGTCAATAAAATTGTATAGAAATCCATAGGCTCATATAAAGAATTGAACTAAGGCCATTGAGAATATTTGCAAAGTAAAATTTCAAATGCCTGAAATTCAAAGCAATTAAAATGTAAAGTTATACAAGCAGTTTTCTTAGAAGATCCAAATATTAATTAGAGGTTCCATTATATGAAATTGAAGAGCAATTTATTTTATATTATTGGTGATTTGTTATCTGGTAGGAAAGGCTAGTATAAGGACATAAATATAGATCTTAAGCTGGCCATGATTTTTGTGTGTGTGTGTTTGTTGCATTATCTGCAAAATTGTTGTGGAAAACACCAAGGCATCTTAAGAATCTGAAAGTACAGTTATAAAACATCTTGATTTAGTGCCTGGTCTAAATCCATAAGTATGTATAAAAACAGTTTTGTAAATTTAATATATGAAATGTATTTCAGTAATTCTTTTAGAGTATCCTCTGATTTGTTGTTGACATTAACTCCTCCCCAACTAACACTTGAAATGCTACTGTAATAAATGGCATTTTCTTCTATATTTTGTTAGAATGAAAATAAAATTGAAAAAGAGAAGAAAAGGCAAAGGGAGGAGAATGAAAAGATTGCTATTGCCTTGAAAACTAAAACAAATCAGGAGATAATAGATGTTCAGAGTCTGAACAGTGAACAATCCAACGAACAGAGACTGATAGAAAACTATAAATCTGTACTAACACAACAAGTGGAACACGAAGATGAGAATGACCAGCAAATCTCAGAAAGTCTTGACTCTGGTGATAATGCCACTTTGAATCCAGGAACAGGTAGACTGATAAGAATTTATAAATGCTGTGTTACCAGGCAATTTCTCTTAGATCTTCTCACATGCTCCTTCTGATTTCTGAGAATGATTTAGTAAGAACTGATGAACTGCCTTTTCGTTTACTCTGAAAAAAACCAGAAAATTATTTAGTATTCTTTATTATTTAGGATTCTTTGATTAAAAAAATCTTGAGTGAAGGACTGTTCTTATCTAATTTCTACTAAGGTTTGCAGAGGTTAAAATAGCTCATATGAGTTCTGTCAGCTTTTCAAAAGTTACATTTGAACTTGGAGAGAGAGAATATAGCTGCTAGGCAAAATTTTGAAAAAGGACTAGGAAAACCTAATGAACTGCCAAGCAATTGATAGATTTTTTTTAAATTAAATGACAAATTTAAATTCCAGTAGTCTATCATGAATACATAGTCTAACTAAACATATGTAATTAAGTAACTGCTTATTACCAAATAAAATTGTGATTTGCTCTGATTAAAATATCTCTATGTATGCACAGATGTTTTCTAATTGCATTTCAAAATTCTTTATGTAAGATCAGTGGTTTTATTTATATTTGATTTAGAAAACAGTAAAAAGAAAGCAAAGAAGCTAAAATTAAAAAGAAATCGAGTTGAACCAGTCAATACAGAAGAAATTGTTTCCCCACTTCCTACTCCAATTGCAACTCATACACCAAGTGAGTACAATGTGCATTAGTGTTTAAAGTTAGGGTCTTGAACACATGAATAACACAACTTCACATGAAGTATTTCAAAAGAAAAGATATGGCACTGTTAAATATTATGATGAAATGCCTAACTGATCTTGGGAACATAAAGGAGGCAGGGAGAGAACTAAGAGATAAGGGTAATGTAGAAGAAGTCCAGGGGAAAAGAAAAGCATGAGAAAGAAATTTAGAGTAACTCTGCCTTAATTATATTATATTTAATTATTTATATTATATTTATATAATACATTTTCAATGTCAGATGCTTAATCCTATGCAAATTAACTTCTACCCCAATATGTCTACCATGCTCATCAGTAGTAAAAGTTCTGGTTTTATTAATAACTTGAGATTTTCTCCATGTTCGTGGATGAATATTTGTTTTATTAGAATTGTTCAATTATATAATTGCTGTTTGATTTTTTTTTTTTTTGGCAGTTGGATGGGAAACACCAAAAATTAACAGAATTCAAAAACTTGAGCCCCTTGGTGAAACTCATCATAATGGTAATTTCAGAGGAATTTTTCCTCGGCATCATATATTTTACTTTGCATGTTAGCTTATTTCTTTCATTTTGACTAATTTGGCGCTTCTTTAAAAAAATCCATAATTTTCACTCCTTATTTTTGTCTTAAACTATATGTAAATGGCATCTAGTTAATAATTTTATTTCATTCTCTTTGCTTCAGGACAAAACTGTTGCTTATTGAGATGGTCATGTAGTTAGTTGTATATTGCTCAGTGGAAAAAAAATAGAACACATTAAAGTGCAAAGGACCATTCTTAACTATTCACCCAAAGAAGGTCTACTATGAATTGCTATAAAGATTTTAAGAAATATTGAAATAGGAGAAAAATATCTTCTGAGCAGACAAGCATTCACATAATCTTCATTTTTTCTTCTCAACACCTATCAAATATTGAATCTTAAACATATATTAATCACTTGCTAAATTTTATAAGGTGAAGCGGAAGGGGGTGGGAATTGTTATGAGTGAATTAGGCAGGTAGATACTGTGTGCCTAACTTATGGTTACTTATCTGAATATCTAGAAACCATTTGTAAGTACAGTGCAATTTTTATTAGCATATGGTTTTCTAAAAATATAATTTTGCTGTTAATCTTTTTAATGGCAAGTTCTTTCCTAGTAGATTTTGATTTGTTATATCCTCTTACAAATGAGGATAAGAGTTATTATTAATAAGAATTGTTCAGTGATAGAACATATGTCATATATGCATGCTTGGTGTTCAACTTAAGGACCTCTAAAATGATCTTGAACAATAACACTGCAAAAGACAAATGCCTGGCATGCTGTTTTGACCTGTTTCTCAGAGCATGTAATATTAAACTGGATCAAGGTTATCCAACTTTCTTTAGCTAAGGGCTATTCAAAGGTATATTTTACCTCTGAATGGAATACCTAAGGCCATACTTAAAGAAAAGGACATGGTTAGAAAAAAACTAAATTTTATTTCATCTATGGTTAAATGCATTTAAAATTAGGTAATTGCAGTTAATATGGCGAGCCCCATATATTTCATTTTTTCTCCTTCTTTCACATTAAAATTTATGAAGTAGCAACTTTTGAAAGAGTTGTAAAATGATAACCAAGATGTTCAAGGTTTGCTTGCAGCACTGTGATCTCAGAATTTACTTCTCTAGATTAGAAATATGTATGAAAAATTTATACGTTCATAAATCTATATTTTGAACATAAATTGATTTCCTTTGTAATAGACAGTCGTATAATTTTCAACAGTTTGTTTAATATCCATATTTCTTTTTAAGGAGTATAAAGAAAAGAAAAAGAGAGAAAGGACAGAAAAAAGAGGTAGGGAGGAAAAGGGCCATGTTTCCGGATTATAAACTTTTTGCTCTTTAACTATGAGCCTGATTGTACCTGGACTTAAAGTTGTCATTCCTTAGACAATATTTTTGTTAAAAAGTGGGATAGAATTATTCTTATCAAGAAATATTCTGATGGTAAGTTGTAAATCAAGTTTGTGAAGCTGTACAGATGAGATATTTCCTATAAGCTTTGATTTTCAACTTGCTCAAAGAATACAATTACTTAGAATTTTGCATGTACTTTTTTCAATTCTTGTCACTATTTAACCTGAAAACAACAAATTTGATCTGAGATGATGAAAGAGATCCATCATTTGAGTACTATTTGGATTTATCTGGATTTATTGGGAGTATTACATGCCACTGAATCCAGTTTAGAAGCTAATGTGAATAATTACTAGAATTTTAGATTTCTAGCTTCCTTATAATTGAACTTTTCTATAATTTAGGCCTTAAAAACTCACAAATATCCACCCAATTTTATTCTTTTTTGTTAAGTATTTTTCTATAGTTTTATTCTTTCTGTTATTTTTTAATAAAATTATATTTAGATTTAGATCAGCTACTAAGTGGCACTGAATTCCTTGATTAGGAGATCAGTTTTAGCCATCAATCTTTAGAAAAAAGGAAGAGAGTTAGGGAATCTTGATCAGGTGGGCAAAAGGAACAGGGCAGGAAACTATAGTGGGGAAGGAGCACAATGAATCACAGAATCTTAAATATCAGGGAAATTTTAGCAGCAGAATAGGCAAGACACAACTCCAGACTGTAGAATTATTAGATACAGATAGTCCTCCCTTAAAAATTGCAACTTTATCACTAAGCAGGGTGATTGTTAAATGAAACATCATGACTGCACTTGACTTATGACATTAGCTCTACTGCAGTCATTAAGCAGATCACTCATGATTTAAGTGTGGTGTCACATGATTGTGATTTGCAACTTACTGCCAGCTCCCCTGATAACTGGTAACTAAGCCCTAACTAAGCTGGCTGTGATGGACATACTGGTGATCTTATGACTATGGGACACTGAAGAAGCCCATCAGTTTGACTTCAGATATGCCGTGATGACTGTAAGTTCCAGTCAGCTGTGAAAAAGGCAAAATCTGTGCTAGTGATCATTAGAAAAGAGACTGAAAATAAAATTGAAAACATTGTCAATCCTTTATAGTAATTTGGTATATTTACATCTGGAATATGTGGACAGTGGGCTGTCAGACTTCTGAACGGAACATAACTTCATGTCAACATAGTGTGATAGACTTGCGGGGCCGACATGTTGTGCAACAAGGTCACAAAGTATAATAAGATTGGGACTGGGTTAGGGACTTCTGTCCCCTCTGAGTTGTGTTGTGGGGAGGGGTGCATGAAGGGAGGCTCAGCTAATCTCATTGCACACATGTTGTACTCTGACAGTAAAGTTAATAATAAGTTTGTCAGCACATTTTAAAAGAGACTATAATATTTCTGGGAAAAGTGAAGATTACGGCAATCAAAACTACTAGGGTTTTGAACACCTTCCTTATGAGAAAGTCTAGAACATATTTAACTTAAAAAAAAGTATAAGTGACGAGGGACTAAGTTAACAGTTGAAGTATATAATATCATGCATGGGATGGAGAAAGTGAAGGAAAGTTTTTCTCTCTTTATTAAAACCCTAAGCCCAGGAGTCATACTGTGAACCTGCCTGAAGGTTTTAGAAAAAACTACTTCTATACACAGCAATCAGTTTTTGGAATTCAGTATTGCAAGATGTGATTTCCAGTAATTTGGGTGGCTTTTAAAGGGAGTAAATATAATCATAAAGGACAATTCCATTAAGGGCCATTAGCTCTGAAGACTAAATATTATCTCTCAGCTGGTGGTACATGTGTTCAAATACAAGTTGCAGAAGAATATCAGCAGGATGATTGAATGTCTCTATCTCCTGCTTCTGTGCACTGCAGGAGCATAGGTTTGGCCAGATAAACACAATACTGGACTAAGACAGACTCGGGTCTTATAAAAAGGATTTTGTTATCTTAGAATATTATTGAAAGGATTTCTAGCCAAATTAGTTGTATTATGTAATCCAACTCTACACTTGAACTATTTTTTAATTTGTAGAAAATATATAGGAAATACTAAATATTTTGTTAATGCCATACAAAATAAATAAAAACATATCTTAATATTTTTCAACATTGACATTTCATAGGTTTTCTCTGTTGTAGAGTTTAAACAATATTAATAAATAACATTAATTATCAATTTACATCTGGAGAGGAAGGAGTTTTGATAAACTAAAGCAAAACATGTTTCAATAGGTATGACTTAAAAATCGATAGTCAGCACAAATAAAAGTAAAAAATATCCTAAAAACCAATAAATATAACCAATGCAACGTCCTGTTCTGCCTTCTCTGAATGCATCCACTATCTTTTTATAGCTTTATAATTTTGCATATTCTAAGCCTGCCTGATGTATGTCTTTTCTTTTTTTAAAATGGATGTTTCTGTTCTGCTCTAACATGGTTTAATAATTGGACACTTGCCTTGTTTTCCTCTTTTGAAATTCTGCTTACATTAAAAAAAATTACATTGTCATAAAAATCCTCGGATACTTGGTTTTGCATTTGAGTGCAATCTGCTGTTCACATCCCCAAATCACTAAGGTTTATATCTACTTTAAATCCTCAATGTTGGTTGCTGCTGATTTAGAATTAGTTGGGGAAATAAGGGAAAAGGTGCTTCTTATACAAATGATCCTATTCCTTTTCTGTATTCTGACTGATTTAATCAATATATTATATATGAAACATAAGGTAGATTGAGAGGGTTAGTAACAGGGAGTTTTGAGATGACTATATATAATAAAAAATACTAGCCATCAGGTATCAGTTAACTTAGATTGTTCTTATGTTTAATTAAAAATTCCTTTGTTTTCAACATTAATTTGTTCCAGTCGGGAACAAGGTCCTCTAAATTTGTGTTTATGTCTAGGATAGAGTAATTGTGGGCAGAGTATTTGTAATTCTAAAACTATTTTGAGTGTATTTCTCTTTTTACAAGTCATTCTCAAAATAAAAGTTATAGCCAGAAGGAATGACAAAAACTGTAAAAAAAATGTGAAACTGATAAGCATGTATAACAAACATGTATCTTTCAGTATATAAATTTTGCATAAGATAGAATATCAGATGAAAGCTAAAGATTTCTGTGTGCATATGAAATAAGCAGAGAATTCCATGCCTTTTTTTCTGTTCAGTTCACAATAGTTGGATAAGAGGTATATTGTCTTAATTTGGTTTCTTTTCTAATTTGTGCTTCAGATTTCTATGGAAAGCCATTGCCACCACTTGCTATACATCAAAGACCTAACAGCGATATGCATGGTGTCATTTCTTAACTAGCAGTCATTTTGTAGCTTTCAAGAGGAATCTAAAATAACATTACATTAGACATTGCTTTCTTTTTTGAAGAGATACCTGCTATTCTTACAAGTTGTTGGGCTTCACAGTTACATTGGGATTCCTGGTAAGGATGATTCTTCTAAACGTTAACAATCCTGCTTCCTCAATTTACCGGCTGCTCTTCAAAGGTGATACGCAACAAGGAAACTCATACAAGTAGAATTCTTGCAAAAGAAATGACAACAGGATATTTATTTCCCTTGCTGGAAATAATATTCTCAAGACCAAACTCAACTTGATTATGCATATACATGCTTTCCGTTTGGCTAAATAGTTTTCTATATTCAACACTGAGGTTTTTTTAAAAGTACATGCATGTTCAAAACAGAAACTGTACATTTAAACAATTTGATATATTTTTATAATATTTTGTTTTTAAGAAATTATTTAGTCAGCAGAACTATTTTGACATACTAAAATGCCTATCTATATTCATAAGCATCTGGTACATTTTTTTTTGAAAAGCAATATGTGTGATTTGCTTCACAATTTGTCTAATTGTTAATTATGTTGTTTTATCTTGTTCTTAGTCCACCAGAAAGAAATGTGTATTGGAAGGAAACTGTATTCATGTTTTCCTTGATGAGAAACAACACTTCTGGAGTCAATTGTGACCGTTCATTTTGTGTTCTTGGGGCTAGAGGGAGAGGGACACTTTTGACTTTCCAAAGGATAGAAAGAAATGTCCTTCAATTACTACTGTATAGAGTATTCATGGCCACTGTTCTTGCAATACTCTTTTCATCTTTGAGAAGATGTGAACATATGGATTGGGGAACTAGGGCTGTGGGGTCACTTTAATGTAAGTAGAAGTAGAATTGTAGAATTGAGTTACACCTCTTTGCACCAAATGTAATAAATGTATCTTCTCCCAGGCATATGTGTCAAGCTTAACTGTTTTAAAGAGTAATAAGTGGATACAAAGTTCATGTTCCTTCACAATCCAAGGCTTGGCTTTGAATTCAGATTGCTCCATAACCTTTATTTCATTCATGCAGACACATTTCCCATTACCTTGGGGTTTCATATATGCTGAAATAAATGAAAATGTTTATATAAAAAAGGTATCTTTCTCCCCTGAATATTTTTATTGCTTCAGTTGTCAATAACTGCAAATATTATTCTAACAATGAACATTTCTAGAAATACGTAAATGCCTTTCTTTAAACATTACAGTCCAATTTTTACTTCCTTTTTTCCATAGCATATTAGAGGTAAATGATCAAAATTTGCACATGATCAGAGGTTTCTCTGTATGCACAGATAGTGAAAGTAATTGAATGGCTTACAAATATCATAAAGCCTTAATATTAAACTGAAAAATTTGGGAATGTAATGAGGTTTGGAAATTCTCACCTTCCAGCAACATCTTATTCAAAAGCTTCTGTTTCTTTGCAGTTTAATGCTTTTGTTCTGCTTGATAATAGTAACACCCATGTCATGAAACTGATCAGTTTGAATCCTTTCATATATGGTTTGTATCTATCCTAAAGTCATATAAAAATAGTCTCATAAACATAGTCAGTTGCATGATTACAAGCTGAATGAGCTTGCTGTTGTAAGATTACTTTCTGTCTAATGTAAAAGATGGTGCATAATACATGAAACATAATTGTTTCCATATATAGTTCCCATATTCCTGAATTTGTAGATTATATACAAAATTTGAAGTTTGTTTTTGATTTCCCCCAAGAAGTTAAATGCTGTTTTCTTTTCAAAACTGTTAAAGACTGTCCTACTTTCTTGAAGCTCAAGAACATTTTTTCTTCTCTCAAGGCTTATGCAATAGGACTTCCTCCTTACCCATGCTGTATTTTTCCCTGCCTCCAGCCCTCAAAATCTGTTTCAAATGATTTCATGAGGGCAACTCATGGTTAGGAAGAATTACTTACCTTCTATTTTATCAGTGGAAATAGATTAATAATCAAGCACATTCATGGGATTTTTGTTGTTGTTACCAGATGCATAAATACTAGGAATGTGTTTTTAACATGTTGACTTTCCTTTTGTTTATTATGGATTATTTATTGAATAGTACATTTGTTTTTATGTCCGAAATAAAGATACACAGAAATGTGATTTAATATTTCATAGTACAATTCACTTTATATGGAACATGGCTTTTATTTATTTTTAAATTATCAGTAATTCATTAATGACTTGCTAAAGAATCCAGTTGAAGTTTGATAGATTTTCAAATTTTCCCAAAGCGTTTGAGCATAAGGTTGGATGGAGTAAGGTTTCTGTTTCAAAAATTATTTTAAAGAAATGCTCTGGCACATCACTTCTCCATTGTTCATTTTACCAACCTTTTTCATTCAATCCTGGGGGGAAAGCAGTGCTTTAAAAGGTTGAGACTGAAAAGGTGAAGCAACTTTAAGGAATCAATTCATTGAAATTAATGAACTTAAAGCAGCGACTACTTTTTCCAGGCTTGCACAGCCCTAATCTAGAACAAGAGTTAGCAACTTGTAGTCTTAACAGCTTGTGGACTACTGCATCTTCATAGTTACAAAGCAGCAGGTTGCTTATCTCTGCTGTAGAGTCTGGATCTAGCATGTCCTATTGTATCAGTTTGAAAAACTGCAAACCTGCTTCTTTGGATAAACAGCAGACATGGCAGATGTACAACTCACAAACATCAGCTAGTTGGGTTTCATCCAGTTCATTACTTTATCTAAGTGCTTCTTCAGAATCTCAGTTGGCTCACCTATGCTGGATTTTTTAAAATGGAGAGGGAGAGCTTGGTATCATCCATGTATTTTTGGAGTCTCAGTCTACCTACCAGCAGTTTAATGTAGATGTTAAAGAGCATAGGAGATAAAATGGAGCCATGAGGGAATTCATAGCCATAAAAATGAATATAAACAGAGGTGGTATTCAGCAGGTTCTGACCTGTTCTGGAGAACCGGTAGTAGAGATTTTGAATAGTTTGGAAAACTGGCAAATACCACTTCTGACTGGAGATTTTATAGTATCTTTCTCCTGCCAAGCCCACCAAGCCATGCTCACAGAACCGGTACTAAAAGAAATTGAATCCCACTGCTGAATATAATGCATGGATCTTCATGATTCTGATTTTTGCAGTATTCACATGTAATTACCATCAAATCAGATATCTGCATTCACTGAGCCGTTACAGTTATAGCCCCAGCTGGTTTTGATGCTACCTGGGCTGGGCTGAAATTGATTATGGATTTCAATGAAATTTCCACTTGAATGAAACCACAATCACATGTAATTAATCTACATAGAACTAACCATAAAATAAATGCTAATATCTAGTTTTACAACTGATTGTCCTATGATTTGCTCCAAGAAATCATTTGGAGCTCATTTCCATAGGTTCATTTTGTAAATCTTGCATATTCCACATCTCATTCTATTCCTTAAGCAGCTTGGGCATTTCTCCAAATAGAGAATTACTGACCAAATGACAAAATCAGTGATCAAATGATGAGCATTTGCTATTAATGTCATCAAAAATGTACAGTGGGGTGGGATCTATCTAAAACTTTCAAATTGCACATAACACCTGTGGCCAATGAACGATTTCTGATACCCTTGTGATGCAAACATGTAAAACTGAGGTTTGGACCGTATCAAGTTTTTTCATTGGGTATATGTGCACTAACTGTTTCAAAATGGCATAAAATACAGACCCAAGATACTCATAAGATTCAGAAACAATTATGAGCCAATGAGGAGTACTAAAGAACCAGTAGGGGGGTTGTGAGGGAAAACGGGAGCACTTCGTAATTTGCCTTTAACTTTAGAACACAGAGTAGAAAATAAATGAACTACTTTTCTAGTGTTATTAAGAAAACTGTTCTCTTAGTAGAAATTAAGGGACCTTTGGTTTTTCAATAAAGCATCAATTATGTTTGAAAAAATATACTGGAAAGCTCAAGTGTTTTTAGATGCTAGCCTTTCATTTATATACTGCGCTCCCGGCCCACAAGGAGTTTTAAAAAATTAAGAAATAGCTACGTTCCAGTCCCACATTTTATCCAGCCTGGTCTGATGCCTCTGCGCCACGAGTCGTTGTCAGCTCCTCCGCGACAGGTGGCGCTGTTGCGGTCCCTTCGTTCCTCTCCGCCCGTGACTCGATTTTCTGAGACGCTTCCGCCGGCCCGACAAGGGAGAAAAGGGCAACGTGCGCGCTGCTTCCAGTGTTGTCCATGTTCTCGCAGGGGCTGCTTCGGGTGACTTTGGTTGCTGCTCGGCGACACAGAAAGGAGCGGTATTCTTCGGCGAGGAGCCAGGTGAGTGCGAGCCGGTTGAGAAGACCGCACTTTTGCTTCGCCACGCTTCCGTGGCTTTCCCCAGAATGGCTCAAAAGTCGACTTTAAGTGGGTAAAGTGAAATTATATCCTATCGACTTCGAGATGGGGGATCCCGGCTTAGCTTTGCTTCGCCAGTGCAATCAAGAAAAAGATTTAGACCTCATTTCCGGTGTTAATGGAAAGGTACGTTTTTATTTTTATTTTTTCTTCGTTGGGATAAAAGAGGATTCCACTGTTTCTTGCCGGAAACAATAGAGCAAATGCCTGACTATTAAGCATTTTCTTCTCACTTTACATACAAAAGATATAAAGTATTTGAATGGTCCCTGCTGCAAATCTTTCCCCGAAATCAGGTTATCTTAGAGATATTTACCGGTTAAAATATAACTTGCTTACTTGGTATTTATGCTCGCTCTCTCTCTCTCTCTCTCTCTCTCTCTCTCTCGTCACACCAGAAAGAGTCAACGTCAGAAAGCAAGCTTCAGAAGCAAATATGCCAGATTGTTCTCAATCACTTCGAGAAGCAGTACTCTGAAGAGTTGGGAGGAGCATGGAATTCAGTCAGGTTAATTTCTGTTTTGTTTTCTTCCTACTTTTTCCCCAGACTCCAATCCATCCTTTGTTAAACAATTAAAATTGTATTTGTCCTGAAAATGCAAAAAAAAGTAAATTATATTAGAAATATACCTCCCATCATTCCCTGGGATGGGATAGTTTATGGAAGGCACAAGATTGGCACTAGTCAGCATTCCATACTGGAGTCATTTGACAAGTATGCAGACCTTATGAATGATTTATTGTAAAATGATCGTTACAGCTTGATGAAATTGGGTGATGGGAATTTCAAAATAAATGCCTTGATGGTTTTTGATAAAAGTTCAGCATGAGTCAGAAGAATTGCTCCTATAGCAGGATCTACAATTTCCTAGCTAATTCTGTCTGATGTGAAAAACTAGAAAGACAATCTGATTGAAAGAAACAGAAGGTCAGAATAACTAAAATGTGTAAATGCCCTACTTTCCACAACAGATGTTGCAAAAGTATTTTATATTATTTTTAGATGGTTTCAATTCTAGAGCTGTTGTAGGTTATACACCTATTAGAAAAGAAAACCATAGATCTGGTCTCTCTGCAGTTCCTTCCCAGCCTAGCACAGATCCACTTCCTTTTGCTTATAGCAGATGTCAAGAGTCCCCATATTGGAGAGCATTATATTCAAAATTCTTGGAAAGAGTAAGGAAGTTGTTTCCTCCTATGAGATTGAAGGTTGTGGATGTGTTGAAGAGAAGTGAAATTGTGGGATTTACTTTCCAATCATCTTTGACATAGACATCTATATTTTAAAAATCAGGCTTAATAGTTTCCTGGATTGGAAAACACAGATTCAGCTCAAGCTAAACCTTCTGATTCCAATGCTAGTGGTTCCTCTTAACAGTACTGTATATAATTGAATATTTGCAAATATTTTTCTTTTGCTTGTGAATTGGACAAATCAATTTGTGTATCTGCTTTAGATTTTCTGAGGTAGAGGAAGAACATTTTTTCTGTGTTTCATTTTAAAAAGTTGCATGGGCTTATATACATATTTCTCAGTTTGAATTATGCCTCAGTGCTATAGTCACAACACTATCACATAATTACAATGTGACAAAAATGAAAAGAGATATACTATAAACCAGTGTTTCTCAACCTTGACAGCTCAAACAGAAAAGGACTTCAAAACCCCAGAAAACCCCAGTCAGTGTGGTGATTAAAGAATAGAGGCTTGAAAATTACATGATTTTGGTAAAGAATCTCTTGGTGATACTATTTCTTTCCACTGATCAAGTATGATGTGCTAATTATATCAATTAGATATAATTAGATATCTTTTTTCATACCAAGATCCATATTTAGCTTTTAAATGGCATTCTAGATGCAGGTTAGGCAGAACCTGCACAAATGTTACATAAATGTGATTCAATTAAATTCAAAATTAATCACAATTAGAGGTATTAAACATACAAAATATGATCAGCCTCTTTGTATAATTTTCTTCTTCTCAATGGGCTGCACTCAAGATTTTAGGAAGATTGCATAAAGATTGTACCATAGTTAGCATTTATATCCTGCCTTATTTTTGTTCACCCAAGCCTGGCTACACAATGACTAATCCAAGTAGCCATTGGTTGAATTTGCACTATTTATTTAACCAGGTGACCTTGTAGTTGCAGTTGCCTAATAATCAAATGCGTGGTGTCTTAAGGTTCTGAACAAAACTGGAATATTATTTTAACATAAATAAAGAAGTTTTAACTTTGACTTTCTATTATGCAGTCCCAGCGCATTAAATTAATTTATTCACTGTGAATACAGAAAATGAATTAACTCAATAATCAAGTAAGTCATATAAAAACAGACAGTAAATTCCAGTTCAATCTTGATCATTTGACCCTTAAACCAACAGTCTAATCATTATGTCACTATAATGCCTTTCTTATAAGATCTTAATGATAAGAAAATTGGGTAGAAAGTGATAAAAGACATGAATTTTTCCTGACTTCAGGGCCACATTTTGCAACTCAAATCCTGCACCTTTCATCGTGTGCATACACATTCAGAGTGGCTAATTTCAGATTAAAAGATGTGCAATATACTATCCTGTTTTAATTGCCTTCACATGTAACTGAATCTAGAAATTAATGAACATCAGTTTAACTTCTATAACCTTTCAGAACAACTACTCATATTAACAAATAGTTGAATTCTTACATATCACTGCATACTTAGATTTTTTTCTTTCATCTACAGGAATGTTCTTACAACACCTCAGTACTGGCAATATGCAGTCCTCCTTAATAAATTCAGTTGCTCTTCTGAAATGGAGTCTTATTTGTGTTTAAAGAACTATCGCCTCCTTTTCACAAGACCTTCATCCTCTTTTCCACAATCATTGAAGTGTTACATCAGTGATGCTCCTGGAAAATTCCCTGCTCAGAAACACAGAGATGGACAATTAAAACAGTATTACTTGCTAAATGCAGCCTCTCTGCTGGCAGTACTGGCTCTGGAAGTAAAGGATGGAGAAAAAGTGTTGGATATGTGTGCTGCCCCAGGGGGTAAATCAATAGCCACTCTGCAATATGCTTGCCCAGGTAAGAAGGAAGGAAAGGAGTCCCTGGGGATTTTATTCTGCTAGTCATAACCGATTATAGGGGGCGGAGGTCATCTGTTTCAAGGGCTGTTGAGCCAGCACTGTTCGAAGACATTTCCACGGTCATGTGGCCAGCATGACATCACAGAGCAGTTTCCTACCCACCAAAGCAGAACATTTTTATCTACTCACATTTGCATGCTTTCGAACTGCTAAAGTAGGTGAAGACAGGAGCTTATCCTGTCGCGCAACACTTGGGTCTCGAACTTGGGACTGTTGGCTTTCGAGCCAACAAGCCCAGCATCTTAACTGCTGAGCCACTGTGCTGTCCTAGGTAAACCACTCCATTAGTAAACTCAGTAATACATTGTTAGCAAGCTTGTTTCCCAAAACACATTTAACAGTTTATTCAAAGGCATTGATAAAGAATGCTCTCATGGCATTCTTTTTTTCTTGATTTTAGGCTGAAACCAATAATTAATTTATATTCCAAATATAGTCTAAGTGAAAACTGGCCGTATTTTTTTAAATCTTAACTTTCTTGCATAGGGCTTTTACAGTCAAATGAATATGATAACCTGAGATTCCATTGGTTGAAGCAGACACTAGAATCCTTCATTCCAGAATCTTTGATGAGCCTAATTACTGTTTCTCTGAACGATGGAAGAGAAATAGGAAATTGTCAGCCTGAAAAGTTTGATAAGGTATATGTATATTGGCTAATAATATTATGGAAGCTTAAGTTTTTATCTTGTATTTTGTTAACTTATCTAATTAAAAGATTTTATAGTGATAGCTCTTTTTTTGTACAGAATACAGAAAAAAAGCATTTTTATTTTTGTTCAAAAATATAGCATTGGTTTCTTTTAGGCCTCCTCTCCAAGAGTAATGTTAACAGAACATAGAATAACAGGGTGGGAAGGGACCTTGGATGTCTTCTAGTCCAAGCACCTGCTTGAGGTGACCCTCTACCAGTGGTGGCTAACCTTTTTCGGCTACCGTGCTGAAAATTGCACACGTGCAAGCGCAGACACACTCATGTGCCAGCACCCAGAAGGCAATGCTTGCTGGGGGCCCTCCACGGCCCCTGTGCATGTGTGCAAAAGACCCCCCCGTGCTCTGTGCATCTCTGCGCATGTGCGTGCGTCTTCCATGCATGCATGCCAGATACCCGATAATTAGATGTTGGGCGGCAGCACGTATGCGCATGCGCAGTGGGCTCTTCCAGGTGACCTCGTGTGCTGGCAGAAGTGGCTCTGCGTGCCACTTCCAGCATGCATGCCATAGGTTCGCCATCACGGCTCTATACTATTTTGGACAAATGGTTGTTCCCAATCTCTTCTTGAAAACCTTCACAGATGGAGTAGCCCAACTTCTGGAGGCAAGTCATTCCACTAAATTGTTCTCACTGTCAGGAAGTTTCTCCTTAATTTTAGGTTGGATATCTTTAACAATCTACCCATTGCTTCTTGTCCTGCCATCAAGTGCTTTGGAGAAGTCATTAGACTAGAATATCTAATTCCTGCAACTGTTTAGCATAGGGTTTATCCTCTACTCCCCTATCATCTTTTTTGCTCTTCTCTGCACTCTTTCTAGAGTCTCAACATCATTTTTATATTGTGGTGACAAGAACTGGACACAGTATTCCAAGTATGGTCTTAGGAGTTCAGCATAAAATGGTACTATTACTACTCATGATCTTTTTTTAAAAAAACAAACAAATTTTATTAGTTTTTAAAGACAAACAAAACATGAAACATAACATAAAACCTCTTTTCTGAAAGCTACTTGTAAATTTTAACAAGGCAAATAAAACATTGTTTTATGCAGCATTAACACATTTCCATATAAACCCATACATATCTTTTTCAAATTTCTCGTTATTTCTCCCTTTACTTTTATTCAGTTATATTTCTTTTCTATATTTGTCTATTTTATATGTTTTTATTCATTATACTTTTATTTTACTTATAAGTAAAGTATAAAATATATACTTATATACTTATATTTTATTTTATATCTGACTTGTTTACAATTATTCTCTTCTAACATTCCTCCAAGGTTTTATTAATTCTCAATCAAACATAAACACACAAAACATAGAAACATAAAACTTCTTTTTGGAAAGTGGCTTAACCCCATCTTTCAAATTCATGCTCATCTTGTATACCATTACTTATCTTATTTACCATTCTATATTTTCTATATAACTTCTCCCCTCTTTTCACTATCTTAATTGTATTTTATTTATTTCATCTTAATTTAAATCATTATTCTTGTATCTTTTGTCCGTTCTTTTCCAATTATCTATTTATCTCCTCTCTTTAACACAAAATTTCTCCTGTAATCACTAATTGAACTATCTTTCCCCAAAATTTAACACTTAAAATAATACATAATTTCCATTCTGATTCTGCTTAGTACACTCTACATACTACATTTTAAAATAAGAAAACAACAAACCTATAATATAGTTAAATATATAATTTCCATTCTGATTCTGCTTAATGCATTTTAGATACTACCTTTTAAAATAAGAAAATAAGAAAATGACGTTTATAATGACATTAAAACAATAGCAAATTAAACTATCATTAAATCTTAGACATTTTATACATTCCCTAAATATTTTATTAAATATTAAAATCGATCATTAAATCTTAAGCATTTTGATATTTTAACATCTTATTAGATCTTATAATATTCCAATTTTCTATTTCAAATACGAATACTACAATACAATCTTGTGTACTTTTGCAGAATCTCTTTTTAATTGTACTTTACCCTTTGTCTCTAAAAAAAAAATCTGCTTTTTCCCATCTTGTTTCAAGCCTTTATGACTTCTTTTTCCCTTCCTTTCTTATCCAATCTGGCCTTTTTACCCCCCCCCCTTAACCTCTGCCTTTTTAACCTCCCCTCTCTGTCGTATTCCTCTTTTCTGTTGCTTTCTGACATTGTATCGATTTTTCACCTCTTTTCTCTTTCTTGGTTGTTTTTTTGAGTCTTAAATTCTCCATTTTCCTTCCCCTCTTCCTCCCTTCTTTCTTGGCTAAAGTTATTTATCCATTAAAGATGGCTTGTTGTTGTTGTTGTTGTTGTATTTGCTGGTAGGTAGAAATCGCCATTTCTAAGAAATGAAAAACAGATCCAAAAGAGCCCTTGCCTTCTTGTTCCTCTTCTTTTAATTTTTCAAATTCCATTTTTAATTCTTCCACAGATAATGCCATTGTAAGGTTTCTTCTTCTTCTTTTTTTTTAAACAACCCAAATGTTTTTAATCTTAGAGTAATTTCCAAAAGTCCCAAAGTCATCAAGCAATCCAAACAAACACAAAATGTCTCATTTAGCACCTTCTTCTCTTTACACTTTCTCCTCCTGGGGCAATATCAATTACAAAGTTTCAAAATATATTTTTGAAGTCTTATTGCAGTTAATTTCTAATCTTATAAATTCCAAGCCGTCTCCTCCAACAAGATCTTAATATAAGTTTTTTTTTAACCTCTCCCTTCCCACTTATAGCAAAAAACTTTTGATTTTTACCTTCTGTGCCAAAGCAGGTTTTTCAGTTTCCATTTGCTATCTCTGAAAGGAAGGAGAGTGAACTTTCCCTTTTAACACTTTCATTCGCCACTTTCACAGTCTCCTTTGGAAACAATATATCATTGATTTTTTTTTTTAATTCCAGGGTATTTAGATATATCTTAGAGTCCCGGTTCAGCCAAAGAACTTTCACTTTCTGACACTTCCTCCTGCATGATCTTGTCCGGCTGAAGGTTTCTTTGTGGCGGCCATTGCTGACTGCCACTCCACCGCCTTAGGAAAAAGGAGTCTAGCTGGCTGGGGAAAGGGGTTGCGATATCCCCAGACCCCTGCCTGGATCTCCTCTGTCTTCCGTTACCTCTATGGGGTAATGACAGCCTCCAAACCTGGCTAGATCGGAGGCACTTCAGCAGCGAGCGCAGCAGGAACCGCGCACGATCGCAGGTTCCTGCCGCCGCCGAAGCCTGCAACCAGAAGTTTTATCACTACTCATGATCTTGATACTATCCGTCTGTTGATGCTGCTTAGGAATGCATTGGCTTTTTTGCAGTTACAGATAATATAATTATTCAAAGCTGTTGGAGGATTTAGTGGTTTGGAGGTCCCATTGTCCAGATTCCTGCCTAATGTAAGACTAGCAATTAAAAATGTAATTATAAAAACTTTTAAGAGTATTTTATGTGTATCAATAAATATATGTACATATGTTTGTGCCTGGAGTGGAAGACATAACTACATCCATACAGTATTCTGAAAGTTCAGGTGTGCAGAATACAGGGCATATGCTTCCTAGGTGGGGGATTGTGAGTAAATCACTGACCTAGAATTTTGTGAGCATGCTAGGGATAAAATTGGCCTTTGTAATATAACAAAATTTACCTGTATTGTCAGGCACATTCCTTCCATTAGCAAGGAATTCTACAGTTAACTTTAAAAAAATGTAGAAATAAGTGAAAGAAACTAGAATCAAAGTTAAATAATTGCCAGAAGGGAAAATATGAAACTGTATTAAAAGATAGATTAGTATCCCAACAGAATAAGTGGAAATAGTTACAGAATGCCAGTGATAAGTGTGGAGGCATTATGAATGCATGCATGAGAAACATCCTTAATAGCATAATGAAATAAATGATGACTCTATGAGAAAATTGCATATAAGAGAATGATTAATGAAAAAATATGAAAAAAATGTATAATGTATGATTATGCATCAAGCCTAGGGACTCAAGGGAATTGGTGAACTAATGAAGTAGCTCTGTATCAACATACCTTCGCTATTTAGCTGTGTTTTATAGTTTTTAATATTTTTAATAATGATTGTTATTTGTAAAGAGTTTTTTAAATTTTTTTGTATGCTGCCCAAAATCATTTGTTTATGAGATGTGTGGCTACATAAATGTGAAAAATAACGTCTGTATAGGGAAAAACAGAGCTGAAAAGATACAAGAAAAAGCAAGGAAAGGTTAAAGGAGAGAAAATGCAGAGTGATTACAGTGGAAATAAAATTGGAAGTGGATAAAAAGGTTTGAATGAGGAACCTTCATCAGAGAGAACTGAATTAAAAGTAAAAGTGATGAAATCATTTGGGATGAAGTCAAAGTGAAGAACTGCTGAAAGAGTGTTTTAGAGATTTATAGGGCAATGACAGTGATGTATTGAATGTAGAATTGAAATGAATGATCTAAAAATTATTGTCCTTGATCGTGGAACAGACTTCCACTTAGATCTGCTACCCTCCTAGACTGCTGGAAACCAAGAGCAAGCTTCTCCAATCGTTGGGATAGAATGGGAATGATGCCTAGAAAAACTTAAATGTTGACAAATGCAGATTTTTCTTTGGAGCGCCAGGAGGTTTTGTTATAACCTTAATTAAAAATTTGGATTTTTAATGATCTGTGAGCTATCCAAAGTTATGGCGCAAAAGATGGATAGCCACAAAAGACTTCTTAATAAAATGAAATATAAAATCATAAATGCTATCAGGTTGAACAGTGGAATGTTTTATGTGAACATTTGTGTAAGTTGAAAGTTGGTTGCTAATTATTAATGTATGATGGAATGAAAACGTATGAGAATAAGTGAAATCCTTAATGATCTTGAGTTAGGAATGTTCCTATATGATTCTCATTAGTTGTTTATATATTTACGGACAAAATGCATAAGGCTTGTGATGTTACAAGTGTAGTGTACTTTTGGTACACTGATGCTGTGTGGTAGGCTAAGAATTCAAGTGATTAGTATTGAATAGTAGACATAGGAGAAGAGTGTATGATATCAAATATCAGAAGATGTAAAGATGGTAGAATCTATTCCAGTTAACAAAATTATTAAAAACTTCAGCTCATGAAAATATATCCTTTCAATAAAATTTATTAGTTAGAAAAAAATGATTTCAGACTCCTAAAAATTGCTGGATTGTATAATGTATCAAAAATTCCAGGTTTGCTAATGAATATATCATATACCAGGGTGGTTGTATTTGACATGGAAAATATATATAATTACAAGTTATACATATATGTATGTTGTCCTGTGATGATTTGCAACAGGGCATTAAACCTCAGGAGCTTCAGGATATAACTGGACCCTTTTGAGGAGGAAATGTGAAAAATAATAAATGAAAATTCCATAAGCAATAAATAATATCAGTGAAAAACACATACACATAATCCAACCCAGCAATTTAAAACAAAGATTTCAGGAGCAATTTGCGAATTAATTTTATATATGATAACTGATTCTAGTAAAATTATTATATACTCAAAAGTGCATGTAAGTGTAAACATACTGCCCATAATGGAGGAATGGCTGATGAAAATGATGGAATTTGCAGAGATGACTAAATGGATTTCTTTGATACATCTGTATTTGTTGCTGACTGGAAACCCTTTATAGATTTCTTGCATGAAGCAGAAAAAAATGAACTTTTAGAGTAGAATAACAGAATTATTCTATGGGGATCTTCTAGTTCAACCCCCTGGTCAGGCAAGAAATCCTATACCATTTCAGACAAATGGTTGTCCAATCTCTTCTTAAAATTCTTCCAGTGTTGGAGCTTTCACAACTTCTGGAGATAAGTGGTTCCACTGATTAATTATTCTAACTTTCAGGATATTTCTTCTTAGTCCTAGGTTGTTTCTCTCCATGATAAGTTTCCATCCATTGCTTCTTGTCCTGTCCTCAGATGCTTTGGAGAATAGCTTGACTTCCTCTTCTTTGTGGCAACCCCTGAGATATTGGAACACTGCTTTGTCTCACTCCTAGTCCTTCTTTATATTAAACTAGACATACCCAATTCCAGCAACCGCTCTTTATATGCTTTAGCCTCCAGTCCCTTAATCATCTTTGTTGCTCTTTTCTTCATTCTTACGTTTTTAATGATTAGAAAACATTAGGCAATAGAAAATACGGAGCTTTTTATTATAAGAATATAATTAAGATTTTATAATCATATTTGTATTTGTTGCGAAGGATTTCTGTTTCTGTTTTATCTTTTTGTACTTTAGTCTTTTCCTTTTTCCCTTTTCTTTATTTGTTATTAATTTCTGATAGTTTTTATCTTCTTAAAACCTTTAATAAACTTTATAGCAAAAGGGTAGTAATTTGCTAATTAAGAAAGAAGCATGTACTTATAAAGTGCAGTAAGTTTAGTCTTCCAGCCACTTTTACCCATTATAGTAAACTCTTTTGGAAACTCTTATGTCGTAGACAGTGACATAGTAAGTATTTCTAAACTATTTTACACTTTCATAAATATTTGCTCAACAAGAGGTTAATGCCATCTTGCTTTTTATAGAGACTATACATATGGTTTGGAATACAAAAAGTGGTTTTTTTTAATGTATACACCAGTGCCACCTGGGATCTTTGTTAGAAAGTTATATCAGATATAATATTTTTCATAACCTTTTTCTACCTTTAGAAAAATGTAGCCCTGATAAGAGAAAATTAAGGAAATATTAATGGAGGAATTTTATAGCATTTATACATGTTTGAATTAGTCTATGTCATAGACAAAGATTAAGATCTATTTATTATTCCAGGCTGCAGGTCTTAATGGAATTGAGTTCCAGGAAGACAATATCGTACTGTATGTAAAAGCTTTCTAACAACAAGAAAACAGCCATTTGTAAGAAATGTCTTAGTTTGATTAAACTAACTAGTACACTTTAATTCTGATTCTTTTTGTGATTCTACTAAAGCTATTTTTGTTGTTGTTGATTATTCAGATCCTAGTGGATGCTCCTTGCTCAAATGATAGAAGTTGGTTATTCTCTTCTGATACCCAGCGGGCTACTCTGCATTTAGCACAAAGGAAGCTATTATCTGCTGTACAGATACAACTGCTCAGGTAAAAATTGAAAAGAAAAAGGGACTGCTCATTCCCAGAATGAAGGACGTGCTAAATCATATTCTGAAACTCTACATCTCTTTGACCTATGTATTATTCTTTCCATATGTAGTCACACTGAGCCAGTCATTGTTCCAAAAAGCATAGAGCTACACTGCTTTCTCCTGGTAATTACCATAGTGTATAGAGAGCACCATTCATGTTTGCCTGCTGAGTTCTTTCGTATTTGTAACTAAGACATTCCCAAAGGGTGGAGGAAGAGAAAACATCAGGCATCCATATCTGAGTTTTAATGTATTTGAAAAACAGCAACAGATAAATGCCTGGTAATCTTTTTAAAAACACCTTAAACAAAAAAAATATTTGCAATTCTTGAAGTAAATAAAAAGTTGTGAGTACCAAGTGTTCATTAATCTATAAATTCAAGTGAAGAAAGCAATACAGATAATCCTTGACCTATAATCTGTGAATTTGTGATCATTACAAGTTATTCAACACTGAACCAATGTGGTTACCACCAGTCCTATGGTCATGTGATCACAGCCTGGATACTGGGCTACCTGTATGCACTTACAACCGGTTGTCAAATGTCACATGGTCACCATTGGCCACCTTTGCAGTACCCTCTCTGACCTTTCCCTTGCCCAGTTTCTCATTTGACAGCAGCCACTTACCTGCCTGTGTCCCCGAGACTTGCAACTTCCTGCTTACTTCCACACTGATTTTGGTTGTGAGAAGTCAGCAGGAAGTTGCCTTGCCTCACAATCGTGCCATTGTGGAATTTTCTGGTAAGTGGGATTTCAAGGATTGTAGTCTCTAAGCATTACAGTTGAACTTTATGACTTCATTGTTTAACAAATGAAACTCTACTCCCAGTTGCTGTCATAAGTAGGTCAGCCTTTGTCCCTAACCTACTTCTTTTCCTATGTATTGTATTACAGTTCTCAAAACTCCTAGTTAGCAATACTGTCAAGCACCATCCGGTGGGCAATATGGATTTAGACATTGGCATGGGATGGAAGCAGTGCTGGCCACTCATGGATGCTCTGTGATGGAACTTAAATAGTGGCAGCACAACGTTCCTTCTCTTAATCTCAACAGTCTTCACTATTGTCAATCACAATATTTTTTCTGATGGCCTGCAAGGATTAGAAATTTAGTGCACATTCTTACCTGTGCAAGTCAATTCAGTCAGGAACGAGATTGTCTCAGGACTCAATTCTCTGTCTGGTTCCGTTTAAGATAAAGCTGCTGAGAGAGGTCATCTGCCAATTCAAGTTGAGATGTTATAAATATAAGATAAAGCTCAGTTGTATATTTCTACCTCAGGCTAAATTGGTGATTTAATTTGGGTGTTTTACTTTGAGGACTAGTCTATTGACGGGATTCAATCCATAAGCAAATAAAAATGAACCGTAACATTACATTCTCTAGCAGAGAAGCATAGACACACACATACACAGAAACATTGGCAATGCACATTATTGTTATCAGAATTTTCTTTTTCCCCATAGTGTTATGTAATGGCCAGTCTCTTGGAGACATATTTTTAAATGTACAGTATGTATAAAGCTAATTATTATTTATAAACTTCATATATAGTCAGCTGTTTGACTTAGTCTCTATTCTTTTTCCCATCCTAATTGGAAAATTCTTTATCCCTAACTTAAGTATAAGATTCAAGATTTCACTTTCCATTTCTATTTAATCCAACCATAGTTCTTTTTAGTCTGAGTCCTGATCACTACTTAATTTATCAAATAAAGATTAATTTTTCGATCTTTGGTGCAAATTATTAGCCATGTTATAAAGTCCAACAGTATTAAAGAACAGCTAGTTGAAACCAATGTGATAGCAATCTGAAGTCATAGCATCCCTGAAGGTTGCCCAGCTGTTACATGACTGTTAGGTTTTTAAACACCTTACTAGGGAAAAAGTCTAGCTACATATCAGAATAGAATTCAAAAAAAGGACAATTCAAGAGGAATGAACCGTTGGGGCAGAGAAAACAGTAGACCAGAGCTGTAATTTCTCAGGAGTCTTGGATGATGTTTCCTTAATCTCTTTAAAGACCCACCAAATTATAACGATTAATATTATTGAATTATTTGATGCCTATTAGTTAATTAGAACATATAATTATTAATTAAGATAGCCAGTTTGCTGTAATGGTTAAGGCACTTGGCTCAAAACCAGGGAAGTGACTTCTAGTCCCACTTTAGGCACAAAGCCAACTGGGTGAAGATGTTACTCTCAGATTAACAAACAAATAAATAAATAAGACTTGTCCAGGCAGTTGCAAAGAATCAACACTGATTTGAAGGCACCAAATATAAAAGCCAGTAAATTAAAGTTTCTTTTTTTCTAGATCCACTCCTTTGCTCTGATTACTTTTTGGAGTAGGTTCCTTCAGTAAGCTATCCAAGGGTCCTTGGCAAAACACATGCATAATATTTTGCACCCCTCCTTTGACTTGATTTCTTTTATTCGTTGGAACATTTTCAACCATAGGTTTTAACATATTCATTTTTTTTTTGATCCAGCAGTATCATCCTCTTCACACAATAAGCTTGACAGGTTCATGAGAGAGGCAGTGAATCAGCTAAGCAAAAAGTGAGAAAAAGGATACATTGACCTAGACTGATGAATGTTAAATTTAGCTTAAGCAGGCATAGAGTTGATTAAGATTAAAGTAATATATTCCATTCATTTATGTGAACTGATATTGAAAGGTTAACTAATACCTTTTCTGAGATGATCCATAAAAACAAGATCTTTCTAAAATCATTGCCTCTGTTGCCATTCTTTTTTCTACTTCTCCATGCCAACACTTGTTTGGGAGGCAGAGCAATGAGATACACTTAGAAATTTGTAAGGTGATAGTCAGTAGCACTTAGACTTATATACTGCTTCATAGTGCTTTATAGCCCTTTTTAAGCAGTTTACGGAGTCAGTACATTGCCCCCAACAATCTGGATCCCCATTTTACCGATCTTGGAAGGATGGAAGCCTGAGTCAACCTTGAGCCAGTGAGGATCAAATTCCTGGTAGTGAGATTTAGCTGAATTAGTATGCAATACTGCACTCTAAGCACTGCGCCACCATGGCTTCTAGGTAAAAGTCTTCTTCCTCCCTCTCAAAAAACCCGACCTGGCCATACTGCAGTGCCAACATTGTAGTTGAAAGACTGGGCCATCTTGTGGGTTATTGGTGTGTACAGAGGAGTCACCAGGCCAGGCAGAATCATTTCTTTTATGCAAAGTGGGTATTATTTCAGATGCCTTTCTTTTCAGACAGGTTTTCGTAGAAGTCTAGGCCTATTCTTACTTAATTAGCATTGCAGTTTTGCAAAACATTGTTTGCTCATTGGGATCATCTCTGCATTCTGCAACATATAGTCAATCAGGGATGTCAAACTCACGGACCGCCAGATGTGTCATGCGCTGGCCCCGTCCCTGCCCAGTTTAGCGAAGGGGGGAAAATCCCGCTATGTCATGTGATACTGCTGTGACAATGTGAGTTTGACACTCCCGGTCTAAATAGTATCCATACCTTTTAAACCTTTTAAGAATACTCAAAATTTTGAAAGACTCAGTTTACTGTAGGATTTGCATCTCGTGGCATCTTCCAAACCTCTCTGTATAAATGGGGTATAGTTTCTTACCGTCAGTGTGACTGCAGGGTCCCATGTCAAATTGTAGATCACATAGTGACTGGGCTATAAGCTGAGGGCGTATGCCAGACCAGTATCTGGGTTTTTTTTTTAATATAAACAATACTGTGCTTCAATAGTTAGATGGCCTAGACATTGGTATTTGAACATAGATCTTATTAACATATACAGTTCATTGTGTTTTACTGATCTAGGTAAAATGTTAATATATATTGCTAGCAAGGAGACTAATAAGCAGGGGCTTTTCTCTTTCTTCTTCAGCAGTAATTAATTACATATTATGTCCAGCTATTGATCATATATACTCATTGTCAGCATAATTGAGAGAGAAATAAAATAGTTTATTTTTCAGGAAGTAGAGCTTTTTATGGAAAGCTATCATAACAACATCACAAAAACGATTGAGAGGTTTGTGTTTGCCCTACTCCTTTGTCTTAGGAGGGAGCGACTTCCTACAAAAAAAGGAAGCCTATGATTTATAACCAAAATATGAGTGTCTTATTGCAGTAATGCATCATGTCACCAATTTCCTTTGGAGAAATCAATCACATTTAAAAACATTGACCTCCTTCACTTTTCTTTTTCTAGTATTTGACATATAGAATCCAATTTGTGGACTTTTGGCTATAGCAAACATACATCATTCAGTGAAATTTTTGCAAATTTGTACAAATCATTCTAAATATGTCTCTAAAATGGAACATTTTTGACAACAAGAATCTTGTTGGTAGAAAAAAAAATACTAGCAAGCTGAAATTGCCCAATTCCCCTAAGCATATTTAATCAAATTGGAGCCTGTTTTCTTGAAGAAAAATAATTGAGGGCTTGAGAAAATAGTACCTAGCTAAGTGACAATACAGCAATGGCTAATTTTCACTTTCTTCCTCTGGTGACTTACTGTACCTGTGCACTTCAAAGGCCAAAAAGCTTTAAAATGTCCACATGCCAGCCCTTGATTACAAAATCATTTTCCATTCCCCTGTATAATTTCATACAATTTTCCTCTAGGATGCAGTAGAAGAGTGCAACCAGGAAGCTTTGCTACACTACCATTATGCAAATGAAATTCACCAAGAGCATATTTCAGAGTTTAATCTTGAAATGGGGAGAAAAAAATAGTAACTTTAGCTTCCTAGCTAAAATTGCACACAAAATTTACTAGAGAGCTCCAAGTTTAGAATTTAGAGGAGATGAAAATTATCATAACCAGTCCCGCAATGTCATAAATCACACAATGGAAATGTTATGATATATTAAGATTAGATAGAATATTTTTTTTTAGGATTTTGAGATGGGGTTTTTTGGACCCATGTTAAAATCCAAGTAAAATATGATTTTTGCATTCTTTCTTTCAAACACATTCTATACCATTACCTGTCACATGTTGATGCACTCTCAATTATTTACTCTCAATTATTCAACCAATTATTTCCTGAGTACTTCCAGAAAACATAGAAACATATAAGTATATTCAGGTTAGAGACTGAATTGGCTTGGAATTCAATATTTGCTGGACTCATACCACATTCCAATTATCACTATATTTCATTGTTATATAATATACTACAAAGCTCTCGTACTTTTCTCTTTTGGGTAAACTGAAGGTATTAATGACATAAGAAAAAGCAAAGCAAACAGCTACAATTAACCAGTGATATTTATATTAGCTGTCAGGATCTTTCAATTATAATGGTAATCTTATTGTTATAAAATATCTATGAATCACTTGAAACAAATATAGCATTTGCAACTGGTTTCCTTTGATCAATGAACTAAAAAAGTTTGATCTTTCTGATCCAATAGAGACTTCCATTTTTTAAAAAAAATACTCCATCTCTTTAGTATCCTTTCTGAAACTTCATGAATTTCACATCGCTCATCCAGATTAAAGAATATATTTCAGAAGTGCTAAGATAAAGAAAAAACAAACCTTTCTCTTTTCAAAAACCGAGGCCGGGTTTTCTTCTTAGGGGGATCATCAATAATGAAACTTCCTGGTGAAGTGCTAGACCTGCTTTTTACCCAGACGGTTACTCCAGCTTTAAAAACACCCTTTCCAGTTGCCTTTTAATAATGTCTAATTGTGTAGTATCAATTTCAATTTGAATTTTTAAAAACTTAAATAGCTTTTTAATCAACTTTACTTGAACAGCTTTTATTTTAATTTGCTTGCCTTTTGGCATTCAAGACCCAGAGATTTTGCTCTATCAAATAGCTAATACTCCTCTGCTAGTGATTGTGTAACAAAAAGTATATAATGCTGTGCAGAGGCAACATTATCCTTTAATAAGTTACCATTACACTTTAATCTGAATTCTGTTATACTGTTTCGAAGCCTGGCTTAGCAGAGCCCGTAGAGATTATAGCACAGCATTTGTCAATGGTTCTTTACAATGCCAGCCAAAGCGGTTAAAACAATGGCAAGGATCTATCAAGACCTTCTAATGAATTACTCTTAGAATGTCTGGCAAATCTAGTCTTCCAGCAGCTGCATCTACATGTGGTTATGACTATAAATTGTAAAAAAAATCAAAAGTTTTTGTATAATTGAAGGAACACTCAACGAGAAAGAAATATCAGAGACTTGATACAGGCAAAGCTTTCTGGGGCTTCAATTGCATTGTCTCAGTACTGTTCAGCCCCATGGTAAATTGTATGTTGGAGGTACAGATAGAGTTTCTTGCATCTGCCAATGAATTTGTAAGGAAAGGTAGCATGCCATTTCAAGAAGAAATTGAAATCAAATTACCGTGATGGGAAGATGCCAGATTGATCAACCAAAGTGGAAAGGGGAAAACGGAATTCCTCTTTTATAAAGAAGGAATGTACTAAGGAAGAATGTAAATGTTGTTTCTGCGGTTTGAATGGTTTGGAGCAGATTTTTTCCCTGCTGATCAGTTGCATCTCTGCAATCTCAGAAAATAGCTTCTGTTAACGAACACAAGATGGCAGCATTGAAGTATGACACACTGTCCTTGTTATCTGCCCTGTTTTTTCTTTGGTTTTTAATATGGAGATACATTAATGACAGAGTTAATCTTGGCCATTCTAGTAGAATGCAGAACATGTAATTACTCTCTCAAGGAGTGGGCTGAGAGAGTGAAATTTGTAACATGAATTGTTATATCATTTCTCTCTTCTGCTGTATACCTGCATCCTTTTACACTTAAGTGTGAACAGATGACCCAAAGATAAAACTGTCTAAATACAATATGGCAAACAATCACAAAATTGTATTTGCTTTTTGGCATTTTGCAGTGAACGGTGTTTGGGAGAAAGCTGTGAATGTCTTGAATTTCTTAGAATTGCTAAAAATTTGAGATTATAATTATATATTTTTTTTCTTCAATGTACAGCTTTTTACCACTTAAAATTAATTAAAATTTACAACACTTTTATTTTTTAATTATTCAGAATTTTGTCCAGAGACTCTTGGCTGCTCAAAAATAGGAAAACTAATGTAACCATAAATAAATAAGGGAACTAGGAAGGCCCCCTTCTGACATGTTTTCCATACCTCTGTTTCTTCAGTGGGTTGAGATGTCTCTTATCTAACCATTACCCTGGCTGTGGCTCTTCCTGTCTTTCAAGGATATTCCCATAGACCATTACATACAGACGTGAAAAGTTTTCCAAGACACTTGATAGCATCTCCAATGTGACCTGGGAATGCAATATATTACCAGTTACCATTCAACCCACTGAATAATCTGACACACACACACACACACACACACAGAGAGAGAGAGAGAGAGAGAGAGAAAAAACCCCAAATCTTGGTGTATCTGTCCTGTCCCCAGTTTGAACCCTTACCATGGTCTAAGATACCTACTCCATCCAGGGCACACTACTTGATTCCAGTCTATGAGGCCAAGCCATTGTTCAATACCTCTAACTACAAAGAGGGCCTCTTCAGAAGGGTATGAAACTGCCTTATTTTAATAGTGGTCCCTCCCATAACAAGGCATCTGTAATTTCCTGAATCCAAGAATAATCCCCTCATCCTGCCCCTTTCCAAAACGAATGGGCCAAGCATGCAGTTTGCAGGTAATCAATATCATCTTAGAAAACTCTTTATCCACTTATTCAGAAGCAATAGAAAAGGAATCCAGGTAATATGGTAAGGTAGTACCTCAGTCACCTTATAAGACTGCTGTGTAGCTTGATAGCTGCTCTGGAATAAGAAATGTCCAGTTGATTTCTGTTGCTTAAATTCTATATTCTTAAACTTCTGTTACTTATAGGTAGACCTCATATTATACATTTTGTTTTGCGTTAGTGTGGTGTGAGGCTCAGGTATTTTTTGTAAACCAGGATTAGTAGAATAGCTAGTTGAGTAAACCAATGACTTGTTTGATGCATTTTCTCCCTTCTTTTCTCTTAGTTATTCTTTCTCCAAAATTTATTGTCAGTTTAACGTTTTGTCAAAGTTTGAAACAGAGTGAGCTAGTTATCTCCTATGGACAACAAGTAGTATATTCTTCCAACATTTTAGTAATGGATTCTATTGTATGTATTGGCTCAGCAATAATAATTACATGCCATTACTGAAATGTTAAGCTTAATCCACATAAGCATGCACTTTTTTTCTGGCAGCTGAAGATTCCAAGTGTAAATATGCATGCTGGTGAATCAAATTTAATAAAATGTATTCACTCTTTTTTGCTTTTTTTGCTTTTATTATTTAACAGATCTGCAATTAAAGCTTTGCGTCCTGGAGGATATCTGGTTTATTCTACGTGTACTCTTTCTAAGGCAGAGAATAATGATGTCATAAATCATATCCTTGATTCCTGCAGCAATGTTTTGCCAGTGGATTTGCACACCCTACTCACTTCAGTATCCAAGGAATTCAGTTTTGCTTCAAATGTCCAGCAGCATGAACTTTTAGTACTTCCAGAAAGAGGGAAAGCATGGGGACCAATGTATATAGCTAAATTAAAGAAAATATGATTAACGAAATGCTTGTGTAGTTCTTGTGAATCATAATGACAGGATTTGACAAGAGTAATGAACATCTTGTAATTCATACACTGACAAAATTAATTTTAATAAATTTTCATATTTTGTTTTTGAACTAAACTACTTAAAATATTCGATAAATTGCATGATTCATGTAGAGGAGAGATTTCTATTAAATCCTATAGCCATATTGCCGCAATAATTTTGAAATACAAAAATTGGAATTATTTCCCATAATGGTATAAATCCATCGCTTCTAAAACTGGTACAGTTTAAAACAGCACAAAATAAAACTATTCTGAAGTTAATTTCAATTTCTAGCTATTGGAAGTAACTCTTACATTTTCTCCTATTTTTTGTTCTCAATGGTTAAATGGGATATTCAGAGAAAAGTTCTGAATGGTAATTTGTCTTGAATGTATAATGGATTATGTTGAAAAACACTGATTTCAAATTAAACCATATTCAGTGTTTAGTACGTAGGTTCTTCCTGATAGCCAGAGAGAAAGCAAACAGTACTTTAAGCCAGCATGATTTGCCCTTCCAACCTGAAGAAACTACTCAGAAACTCCATTTTATCTTCAAGACCTATCCAGACAATTGAAAACATGCATTGGCTGTTTCTCTTATGAATTAGCAGCTCTTGTTCCATTTAGTTTGTTTTTTTTATCATTTACAGTATGTATGCTGTAATGGAAAGAGATAATTTAAGATAGAAAACTAGACAATTTCAGATATATCTGAAAACCAATTTAACCACCTTTATTTATAAACAGTTAATAATGTGTAACCACCTGATATAATCAGATACTTTTATTTTACATATGAGAAGCACATGCCAACTTTTCTAGTTTCCCAAGTTGCATATCACTAGCTTCTCTAACTAAATAATAATAATATGGCAATTCAGTATTCCTGGATATAGTATCAAATGGGTTCTTTTTAAAAACAGTTAATATATAAATGAATAAATAAATGAAACTATTCTAGCTTCAAGCAAAATCATTCTGAGCCAGCAGATTCTTCCTGGAAGTGATTGTTTTGCCACTGAAAATCACAGATTATATTGAAACAATTTTAATTGGTGCTACCTGTTATTGCCAGAATGTACAACAGGGGAACTCTGTTGAAAGCATATTTCAAGAGCTGATCACCAGCAAATGTGGTACTTTGGTTTACATCTTTGGAGATAAATGTAGTATATCTAGCAGTGACAAAGCAATTTCAAATCTAGGATGAGGAATAGCTATATTCAACACAATATTGCAAGGGCATTTCTGTATAACTACCACTGCAATTACTGAGGTAAGCAAACTGAACAAAGAATTTATTCAAAATCATGTTAGCTTTTTTTCTGAATAACTCTGCTCTAAAGCAGACTTCTTTCAAAAATGGACTGTTATATAAGAAGTGTATAGCCAGTCTCTACACAAGACTATTTTTCTCTATTCTGTATTATGCTGTGTATACCATATTGTGATACATTTGTTCAGAACTCTTAATTCTTAAAATGTATTCCTTTTCAAATAGAGATCTGTTTGGATATATTAAAGTATGAAAACTAAGTTTTCATGACGTTTGGTGAGTGCTAAGAAAGTTGCAGAAACAGTAGCTATGGGATTCATTCTTTCAAGAACAGTAGGGTAGCCTTTGTACACTTACACTAACTGCTTGTTTATTCATTTGTTTCTATTCTGCTGAAATAACACAAAATGTCCACAGTCAAAGTGTTCACAGCCAACATCTAATGAAATAAAATTCAAGGAGACTTATATTAATAGCAATAAGACATAACATCATAACAAAGCGAAGTAAAATTATGTAAACAATCAAATCAGTTTAGATAATTAAAAGGACAAAGAATTGAAGATGGTGATAGCAGACTTTGAATAAACTCTCAAGAAAAGATCCGGCATCATCAGTAGCTTCCAGAATGTTAGAAGGAATGCATCAAATCTAAATTCTAAAAGTATTTCAAAATATTCCAAAACTGGAGTAACAACAGAGAAGCAGCACCTCCTGGACATCATTCTCTTTATAAAAATGGTATAGAACCAAAAAAACACTAGGAAAATGTACTGAATGGACTAATTCAGGTAGAAAATTGACCTGTAGGAACTGTAACTAGGCATCCAACAAAGAATTTTATAGGTCAACACCAATTGTTTATGCATTGAGCACAAAGGAATAGCTTCAGTAATATTTTTATACAAGCTATACTATAAATGCAAGCAAAGAAATATTTGTATACTTGAATTCTTTGTGGCATATAACCTAAAATATTGATGATGTATGGAAGCATAATTCTTATGGAGAAATTTTTTTTTCAAATCAATGTCACATCTTCCTTTAAAATGAAGTCAGATATCTTTTCTGTTTCTATATTATTATCCCACTCTAACACTTTAACTTTCTGTTATGAATCAAATGTTGGGCTCAAAAATATGCCATATCTCCAACTGGGTAAAAAAATGTAATGAAATATTTTGCTCTATGTACATTTGTGTAAGCAAAGAGGGATAATTGATTTTCTATTATACTGTACCTTTTAGGATAATCTGGAGTTGAGAAAGTTCTTAATTTACATAAAAGATGACAGTATGTTACCCAACCAGGTATTGTATGCTTATGTCATAGTAGAACAGAGGGGTGCAATTTGAAATCCAGCTCTTTCAAATCTTTAGTGCTGATCATAAACCCATTAAAAGTGAGATGATTATAATTTTCATTTTGATTTATTTTGTACCTCAGAAGAGTGGCCACTGATTTTTTAAAAAAGGTCTCAAGAAAAGCTCTGAGGACCATAAAAAACTTGTGGGGGTGAATGTACTGAATGAAAATTGCACATCTCGAATGCAAAAGGGTAGTTCTCTTGTTTCCAGCTGAGAATCCTTTCAGCTGAGTGCTATTGCACATTTTAATAATTCCCTCAGCCTTTGAAATACTGAAAATTATCAGCAAGTGTTTCTTATCTGTCTCTCTCCATATCTGTCTGTACGCCTATCAATCTAATCGTATTGTATGTATCATCTATATGGAATAAAGAAAAAACAACTTCTGAGGCATTTAAATGACATATTTCCCAACCTTGATTAGCTTTCTGAATACCTTGAAGGTGCAATATAGTCTGAGGCACCAGCAGATGTTTAGTAATGGGACAAATTGTTCCGTTTAAATAGTTTAATTGGTAGGAAGCATATTTCCTCAGAACAGGCCTACACAGAAGTAAATCCTGTTCAGTAGTACTTCTTTCAAAAGAACTTTGGCTAAAGTTGCAAAATTATTTCAGTAATAAAACTTTAAAAAAAAACCATTGTATTACTTTTTTTTAAATTACTTCATGTCTTAAAATACTTATATTCCTGGTTTTTTGCTACACTTTCAGGTAGTAAATACTGATGGAATATTTTTCTGCAATGTTGCCCAACTGAATTTTTAACTTGAAGTCATTCCAAATACTGTATTACATGCAGTATTGAGGGGATTACTTGTGTTAATCTGTTTTCAGATTGTCATCTGAATGTATTAATAAGCATCTTCCTTTATATGATTTTTCTTCAGGTTTCAAGGACAGTTGTCTAAATTTTATCACTCAGAGAATCAATTTAAGCACATAGGAAAGCTGCCTTCTGCTATGTTGGGCTGACTGGCAACAGCTCTCTGGGGCTTTTTATCCAGAACTAAAGATGACAAAAATTGAAGCTGAGATCTTTTGATGCAAAGTGTGTTCTCTATAACTGAGCTACAATCATTTCCCCTAAAGTAAGCGTAAAAGAAAGCTGTCAGATAGTTTTTATATATTTTAAGAAATGACAATGTGACAGCCAAGCTGGGCGCACTTGCATGTTGTAGGTGCTATTACAAAATGGTTGCTATGGTTGGCATGGCATGACACAAAATTTTACCAGAGAGCAAGCACATTATCTTCTTGCTGTCCAGATTTCCTTGGCAGGCAGTTACATTTTTAAACAAAGCCTTGGGTTATACTCCTCTGCTTTCCTAAATTCAGTCAGGGCTACCTATAGAGTCTGCATATACTAGAAGCATTATTGTAATAAAGCTAATGTTATAGTCTATGCTTTGGAATATGTATGTTCCCACTTGTTTATTTTAAAGTCCAGTGAAATAAAGCTTGGGAACATTAAAGTTTTTGCCTGCATATTTATTGATTCCCATAGGCAGCAGGCCTACAGTCCCTAGTTCACCATATAACAAATTCTCCATTTTCTTTAAATTAGTATATTAATACAATATGGTTAAAAAAGGAAGAAAGAAAGGAAAAAGAAAAGAAAACCAGAAATTTCCTGGGCTGTAAGGCTAGTCTGGGAATCCATAAAAAATGGAGTGATGAGAGTAAAAAATATTTATCATAGTATTGTTCATAAAATACATACATACATACACATACATGCATAAAGTCCAAGTGAGATTTCATATGTTGTTTCTTCTTCTTCTTCTTCTTCTTCTTCCTCTTCTTCTCCTCCTCCTTCTCCTCCTTCTCCTCCTCCTTCTTCTTCATCGCCATTGTCTATCCACTGCAGGATGAAGAACTCTTCCACATGTCTACCACCAATACAGTTCTCAGCTTTCTTTTGCCAATTGGACCCACAATACTTGCTGATGTCATCGAACCATCTTGTTTTCATCTTTTTATTGTCTACTAAAAGGGTAAAAAAAGAGATAGGGTCAAGAGTGAATATGTTAGACATGGATTTAATGCAAAAATAAGTGACCAATATGAAAGAAGTATGTTGAGTCAGTGTGGTCATCTATTAATTTATAGAACTAAATGGTTGCTTATCTTATACACAATAGTCCTAAACAGCTAATAAAACACAAAATATAGTAATGTCACACTACACAAAGGAATGTCACACTTCCTACCAGTATTATAACATCTATCAATCCACACTTGCTGGGCTAACTCCCATCCTAATTCAAGTGGGAAGAGCCAAGTCTTCAATAAAAAACTGAACTGCAGAACAATTCTATGAAGGAAG